TGTCAGACGTGTATTTGTTTAGTGAGTATCATTGGGTAAAATACTCTACAGTAATGTGATAAGTTTCCATAGCTTTTTTAAAGCTTAAACGGTCCCAAATGCTGGATCGTGTTCTTGTACTATGTGTGTCCCTTACCTGTTATAACTTAATTGTGATTCATTTAATGAAATACTGTACAATAATTATAGGGACATGTTTACGAGTTTACCTTATTTGGCTTTTTAGCAGCAATTTCCTCAACTGCAACGCCAGCCCCATCCCTCTTAACTAAAACATCGAAATGCATTGTGTAAAAAAAATACACATGTAAAGGGTCATGTGTGCAGATCTTACAGATTACTTCAAACATCTAATCACAGTGATGTTTAATCCATAACTATTCCGCGACATGAAAGAGTCTATAATCCTTGTCGAAATATTCGTGACTTCTCTTCCATAATAAGTCCGATCAGCAAAGATCGGTAATGTCCATTGTGTTAGGGCCATGGTGACAATGTTGCTAATTGTGATGACACATGTTACGTCGGATACACCCCATTATCACCTTGTGAAGTGTCGTCTGATTCTACAGAGTAAAACAAAATGGATTCATTGGCTGTTAAGCAGCAATTTCCAACGCCATGTCCATCCCTCGTAACTGAAGCATAGAAATTTATTGTGCACAAAAGGGCCATGTGTGCTGATCTTACAGATTGCTTGAAACATGTAATAGTCGTGAAACATGTGCAACAGTAGTGATGGTTTATCCACAATTATTCCACGACATGATATAGTCTCTGATCCTTGTTAAAATATGTCGTATTGCCATAAATTATTGATTGTGATGTGTTCTTCCCCAATAAGTCCGATCCGCAAAGATCGGTGACGCCTATTGTGTTAATGCCATGATGACAGTGTTGCTAACAATCAGGTGATGACACCTGTTGCGCCGGATATACCCCCATAATCAAGTCTTGAAGTGTCGTCTGAGGCTACAGAGTAAAACAAAACCAGTGGAGTTTTGATCGACATAAAAATTTAAATTCCGATAAGTCCGATCAGCACAGGTCGGCAATGTTAATATTTTTAACCTTTTAACAGTTCGCGTTGCTTTCTTGAATCAAGCTTTGCTATCTATGTTTTCGTGATAAGAAAAGTCCTAAACTTTCCCTTTCCCCACGGTTGTACCAATTACAGTGGTCAGGTAAGGACCGCTAATTGTATTACCTTCACTTTCTGTAGTTTGCAGCCAGTTGTATATAGGCCTGGTAATCTGGGAAGGGTAAAACCTAAACTAAGTTTCCTTTTTTTCTAAGGTTGTTCCCAAACAGTGGTCAGGTAAGGGCCACTAAATGAGACTTTACCTAGTTAGGCCTAGTAACCTATTTTTGGGTCGACCCAACTATGTTTTCCTTTTTCTATGGTTGTATCTTTCATTATAGTGGTCGGGTAAGGACCACAGTTTCCCTTGTTTTACCACAATACCGGTCACTAATTTGACCAACAAAATCACTGTACATTTACTGACTTTTATCCTAGCTCCGCTAGGTAGATTTGCTTTCTTTCTTGTAAGTCCATCTCAGCCACTTGCAGGTAGATTATGGGGACATGCAGGCCCGATCCTCTCAGACGCAGAGGACCCGGAAGCAGGGAGGAGGAACAACGGATGACTGAGGACCCTGCTTGCCGGGCATCCCATTACTGCTTCCTTCGGTAAAACTATGAATGATACTTTCCTTTCGAAAATGTCTTAGGTTGTCTTAAGTGGTTTTGCTTGTTGTGTTCACTACTATACTACTGATGCCTTATAAACACAAATAAGATACATCTACGAGAAAATGTATTTAAATTGTTTTTGAAAAAAAAGGACTTAGCACCTTGACAAATTCCCAGACACGCATCAACTTTCTTACATGTGTTCTTTATGTGTTCCTTCTAATCTCCTGGCAGAGATGAGGGTCTACAAGATGAGATGTCACTCTGGACGAAGTTCCAATCGATTCCGAATCCCAAGGAACCGGAAGCAGGGAGGAGGACCGACGGAAGGACTGATGACCTGCTTGCTGGGCAAGTCTTCACCAGTTCTAGAGGTAATTTGAATTAGGGATTCAGTTGTACTTTTTCTTTTCAAACTTTTGTCTCCGTCTTCGGGCATTGGGCACATCCATTTATATCTACTCTACGTGCATCAATCAAGTAGTTGGTTAGCGCTTCGATTGTAAAGTAGATCATTTGTTTTTTATCTTTGCAGATTCCTCTTGCTTCGTGTTAGCAGCAGATCACTGTCCGTAATCTCAACATTAGACTGAAGGAGCACAAATTGACGGGACTACGAGAAGTTCTCCAACATCAAGCATTCCCACAGCAAAGACCACACCATCAACTGGCAGCAAGCACAGCTCATCACCAGCACCCAACAGCGACACCCCCAGCGAGTCTGGGAGGCCATGGAAATCTACAAGCACAACACAGTCCCACAAGACATCGGGTACCATCGGGTACAAGAAGTGATGGCGACCATGGCATCACTGTACGTCCAACGGGTCTTCTATACCCACGGACCCCATCCAATCCCAATAGTTCCTCCTCATTAGTTTTGGCCTATGGGTCCCCTATACCCTTGGCACTCTGCTTGATGTTCAACGCAGCGGTAACTCAATCTTTCTGACATGCTTCAGTGAGCAAACACAGCCAACTTCAGCTTCCTACCTAGCATCTTAGCATCCCATCATCCTGCCAGAATCTCCCGCCTCCACGGTCCACTGAACTTGGCATCCACTGCTTGAACCACTACACCACCAAGAGTCCGGCAGTCTTCTGATGACGAGTTGATGAGCACAATGTTCGAAACATCGAGTTAAACCAAGAGATATCTTTCATTCGTGTGGTGTTACCGCAAACCTCCCATTCATTCAACACGAATGTTCGCAGCTCTCCAGCACTTAAAGCTTTACCATGGCTCCTGTAAGTTATTCTTTAAATAATAAAGTAACATTAGAGGGGAATTACTAAAATGTGATACATAAAGACACCATCCCATTTCAAATCCCTCTGAATTTAAGACCCACATGAACACCACCCCACCCTTCCATAAAAACGAAACGTCTGATTCTTTGAGGAAGAAATCGAATGCCCGAATGATCTGGTTATAGGCATATAATTTAAAAACAAATACCCCTTTAAACCCAAGTACCTGATGAGTGCACTTGGTAGTATCTACTTACCGTGATGAAAACAATCGGATCCCTAGTTGCCGATTCGGATTCAGACTATGGGGCATGGAGAACGCGCTCTCATAGGAAAGCGCACATGTAGACAAAGCGTGACGTCATTAGGTCTATAGGTCAACTTCAACATTTTTTTAAGTTTGGCATTTGACTGAAAAGCAAATAATCTCATACTTAATACCCAAACCAAAACGGGCGTTTTATGGCTACGGGCGTCACGTCGTGGGTAACCCGTCTGCCCCGAGTCGACCCGTCATTCGCGTATACGAAGTGGGCGGGGCTAGATGACGAATTCGAAACTGACCGTTTTGTGAGCCGGATTAGTGTACTAAAGATAAATGAAACGATAAGGAAATTTCCAAAAGTCCATTTTTTTATGCTTGGAAGTGTCTAAATTATTTTCCATCGAGGTGTTGAAATTGACAATATGCATCTTGATCCTCAAATTCACCATTGATTTTAAGCTGATTGACACGAACGTTTTTCCTCTTAATATCTCAGCCTTGGTGTCACACCTAGAGTAGCCGTTTACGTAGAAGATCCTTAAAATTTCAACATAAAAACGGCAAATCTTCTTATCGCCTCTATAGTAAAACCAGAAGGAGCTTCATTATGAAGATTTTATCGCTGATTTTAAGTTCACGATATCGACGTGGAAATACTGCGTAGGACAGCCGGTTTCACCAGAATTTGGAGCAGGATCAATGGCCTTTTGTCTCTATAGTTTACCGAAAAACAACTAAAGCAACAAGTCCCAATTTGAGAAATTTCTCAAAGCTAAACGAAACAAAATGTATGTTATAAAACATTGTATGTTTTAATCTTCTTGTCCTGCATTGACAAAGCATTCAACGAAAGAAATTATCAAATTCAATCAGCTTTAACCTTAATTTCAGATTGTTCATAAAACATTTTTCTATTTCTTTCTATTAAAAAGAGGGAACAATTTTGATAACGTTCAGCGGATGGTTACAGCTGGCTACCGCTCCGATGTTTTCCCATCACAACAAAAGTTTGGTATCCAATAACTAACAATGACGCTTTGTACAGGAATGGCAATGTCCAGTATCGATTACTTCGATTTGTTGTCAACAATGTAGGATAGACAATGACGGTAAAACGGACAAGAAATTCAAATGGTTGTTTAAGTTACGCCGAGATAAAACGAAAGACCCAGGATAATCCAGCAATAATTTCATAATTGTTTTCTTTACATTTTGTTTTATGAAGAATAAAATTAATTATCTTCGAATTTTCCAGAATCCCAATCTTTTAAACTGAGTTCAATTCAAGTAAAATGTTTATATTATTGTATGAAATAAATTGTATAGCTGCGGGATTTAATAGGAGAGTAACTTTTACACTGATCATAGAGGACGCCCTCCCCCCATGATATCAAACTTTTGTTGTAATGGGAAAACATTGCAGCGGAAGTCAGCCGTCAACGATCCGTTGGACCTTATCAAAATGGTGTTCTTATGTTGAGTAGATCTAGTTGATAAACTTGTTATGACCAAGCTAAAATTAAGACTAAAGCTGATTGCACATAATTGTTTTCTCGTTGAATGTTTAAATGTTAGCTAGTTTTTTTCAATGCAGGTCTGTAGAACAATAAAACATAATACAAAAATGCACCGCATTATCGCATCGCATTGTTTGTTTTCATTTGTTTTTGGAAAATTTATCAAATTGGGACTTGTTGCGTCAGTAGTTTTTTAATAGATTGGAGAGACAAAAGGCCATTTATCCTGCTCCAAATTTTGTGAAAACATCGATTGAAAAAAAATGTATAAATGTAAGTCTGGAACAAGAGACGAACCACTTCCTTGCAAGCTCTCCGAGTCATACGCAGCGAGTTCAGACCGGCTCCTCCGAAGTATTTCCCCGTCGATATCCTGAAATCACCCGAAAAAAACCTTCACCATGAAGCTCCTTTTGGTTCTACTGGCGGCGACAGTTGCCCTAGCGAGTAAGTCTGAGTATCTTTATTCATCATTCTTGTTGCGATTTATGAGACTTCATATAAATATGCATTGCCGCCTTACCGAAAATATGCATTGAGGAAGTGATACATTGCATTGTGGGACAGTTTGCACTCTTTTCGTAAGTGTCCCATGATGCAATGCTGTATGTACCTTCACTGCACACTTCCGATCTGTCTGTAAACGACTACACCCTTTGTAACCAAACCTATAACTAGATTTACTGACTGCATACAGTTTTAATGACAGTCAGACGTTGAGTAGATTATCAGATTATACTATAAAAAACACATCTCTCTTTCAGAGTTGTAAGTCGCTTTAAACCTGCATCTGTAAGCGTAAAACAGATGTGATTTAGCAGCATGCAATAGCGATATTGCAACAAATTAACACACACAAATTGAAAGGCCTTCATGTTTCTGTAATAGAAGTCTTCGCAATATGAAGACTTGCACAACATGGAAACCGCCCAAATGAGATATTCTTTTAGAATTCTTTGCACGGGTTGTTAGAAGAGTAAGGTGTTTTATTTTGCATAATTCTTTCCCTTATACAGACAGCGCAGCAGTGCAGAAGAGTGACATTTCCAACTTGTACCAGTTCGGCAACCTCATTTCGTGCTATGGGGGTGCGGGTTTCTTCGATGGGTTGGACTACAACGGCTATGGTTGTTACTGCGGCTACGGAGGCAAAGGAACACCGTTGGATGACACCGACAGGTAAGACGAAAAAAATTCATCGCGTCGAATTTCCAAAAAAACTTGCTATAAGTCTCATGAGTAAAAGTCTCGATCCTGTCAAACGCAATGGGTATAACGGCAAACGCAATGGGTATAACGTCGAACTTTGAAACCAAACTGTCAATTTCAGACCAGCTTGCTTCGGTACAAAAAAACCCGCAGTTTCTAATGAGCACAGTGATGTCCTTGGGCAGGATAGTGTTCCACAATACACATTTTCTTCGGGTATACAAACGATCGATTCAGGATTCGGCATTGTAATGTAATACAGTTTACAATGTTTTTACAGAACACCACACATGTATCTTTATCACAATGCTTATTTTAAGTTGAACAACCATAAATGAAGACAATTCTTCTGGTGAGTATGAGTGCAAGCTTAGAAACACATAATTAGGTTAGAGTATAGAGATGTACAAAGTTCAATTTGCAATACTTTTCTTCGTCAGATGCTGTCTAGTACACGATAACTGTTACGGCAGATCTACCGCGGAGGCCGACTGCGGTTCTTGGGACCCCTACGTCATAGTTTACGACTATACAGAAACCACTGTTCAAGCTGGAAACTGTGTCATCGAATGCAGTAAGTAATTTCTTCAAAGGTTTTTTTCTGGTCCCAGTATTCTCTCTGCACCCATTTCACCGACTGACGTACTGGCTGATGAGTCACTGGCTACCGCGTGTGAGTTTGACTGAAATATCTGTCTCAGTGACTGATTGTCACTTGTGACTGCGATTGGCTGTAGACTGCTGAAGAAAGCCGGGCAGTACTATCGTATATGATAACCCCGTAACGTTAACGCTACGGGCTAAATCCCGCAAATTGGCCAGTTGGCTAAATCTGGCCGATTGTGTGGACCACATGCATGAAAAGAATTGACCTATCGCCGTTTGCGAGTTAGCCACGCCCCTTAGACAACCCAATGGAAATGTTGTATACTAAAATTTCTTTGTCTCAGATTTTGCGCGTTCCGCGTCCATATCATGTATCATGTAATTGGACAATATTTCACAATATTTCACAAGCTGCATCGACGCGATTCTAACGCGATTCTACCAGTGACGAGCCATCCGGTTCGTTAATAAAAACGTCATACACGCGCGCGCAGCATTGATTACTAGCGCTCATTGGATAAACACTCAAGTTGCGTGAGCTTCCGGTGATCCAATGGTTCCAACGCTACTTAGGCCAAGTTCGCGCAAGGACTATAGTTGACCAATGGTTAACTAACGTTTGCCCGAACTCTGTCTAGTCAACGGTGGTTGACTACGCTAGTCGACTGTTTGGAACCAGCCTACTGGGGTTGGTTGCTTCGCTGGTAACCAATAGCCGCGCGCATTCATAACGCTAGCAGAGAGTCAGGATCCAGAAATTTTGCGCTGACATTTTGACCAGCGTTTGACTGGAGACGTTCGCACGTTGCTATCAGTGCGCAGGCGTAAGGTACGTCACAAAACAACCACTAGCCGACTAATGGTCCTTGCCCGAACTTGGCCTTAATGGCCAGTGGGCGTGGTTTAAATGAACTAACGTCACGCTAACGAACCGGATTCTACTTTGTGCGCTCTAGGACCAACTTAACTGGACATGCCTTGTCCTGTTCTTTGTTATGAGCCCGGAATGTATGCATGGAATTGTCCATTGTGTAATACATGTAGTTATATTGTCGATGCCATTTTCTGGATAAAGTCAGGCCTCCTCAGCTCCCCTCACAAATAACTATTTTAACTTCATGTGTATTTTATTTCATTTCATTTGTGGTTTTATTTTACTATCAACAGTGATCCAAAATGGAAAAAGAGAAAAAATGTTATCATTTATTAAAAAGGTGACTTAAGATATTACTCAGAGCTAAGAGTGATCAACTTCAGAACACAATCGATCACAAAACTAGAACATCATCTTTCATTTTTTTTGTCTTCTGTCTCTCCTCCCCATCCCCTTTTTTTTTGCAGAAAAAGCGGCAGACTATTCTTGGTATTCTACCGATCCCGAATGCAGAGAGTTCATTTGCGAATGTGACCGCGCGGCGGCGCAGTGCTTCGCTGAAAAGCGCCCAACGTACAACCAAGCTTACGAGTCCTATGACAAAGATAGTTGCTAAATGGGTACGGCACATATTTCCGACACAGTCGACTCGAAGTGACCTAAACATTACAAAGTTGGAGATATCTTCTGAGTGGCTTGATCCAAATTGGTAATTCAAACTTAATTAACGGAAAAAAAGTTGTTCTAAAAAAAAATGTTCCAGACAGCACGCTCTATTAAATGTTTCGCCCTATATTGATGATTCGGGTAAATACTGATTTAAAAAATTGATCAATATTAGTAAACAGAACAGTTGCATCTTCATTTTCTTTAAAGGTAAAGCACGCGTCTAGTGAGCACGCATTTTCATGGTATGAAAACTATGTTGTATTTGCAGCACACTCGTATGCGTCATCAAAGATGCCTGCCATATCATTAATCCTTCATTTGGAGAAGATTTTCAGTCAAAACAAAAGTAGGATTCTACTACATTGATGCTCATGCTTTTTTGTGTGAATGATTATACCGAATAAATTGCTTGTAAAATTCAGGTTATAATTTCACGGATTTATTAAAGAGTAACTTTTAAATTATCATATACTATTGTTAAGGAAAATAAAGGAGTAGCCATATAGTAGCCGCAAAATATATTACGAGTATTCAGTGTGATTTCTTTAATGTGTAAGCAGCATATATTTTCGGGGTTATCTTCAGGGTTGCAATATTCGTTATGCCAAAAGTTAATCCACACTTACGAATCTGAAGCCGTGTATGATATTGTTTTCGTTTCCAATATCGAATACTCTCTTGCTCAGTATTTGTGACTTAATAACACTTTGGCCAGCAGCATATCCACCCACATCTCGTTATATCAGATTCTGGTATACGGGTCCACTGTACTAATTCAAGCCCCATTGAAAACAGTGTAAAATCAACAAAGTTCAGGGCCAAGTAACATGCAAGCCAACATCACTGGGGTTTCTGAAACAAAAATTAAATATCTTGTCTTTCATCTTTTCATTTCTTTTCAATTTTAGGTACATTAGCCAATTACATTTTTAAATATTCACACCCAAATAAAATCACCTCCCGAAAAGTGATAGTTCCCGAGCCTGCATGTAGCCATTTTACAAGTGGCATCCTTCCACTTTCACGGGAAAATAGGACCCATTTTTCATCCGTGATTTTATCAAGCCTGCCCTCAGATGGAAGCCCCCAAACCAGGGAGTTGATCCTTGGGTATATTTAAACAATTCCACCGTTTTTAAAGCCAAACGGTCTCGGTTTTCAAAAGAAATTGTGGGGGCACGTTTTTATGCTAATCAGCTGGCGTAGAAATTATCGCTTGAATAAGTTCAGTGCACCCATACTGGCAACAAACATGGCTCATCACTAATATCCAACAGTGGCAACCCCGGCGAGTCCGGGAGGCCATGGAAATCTACAAGCATAACACAGTTCCATAAGACACCAGGTACTACATCAGTGATATATGGCGACTACTCCTTCATCGTACGTAGGTCCAATGGGTCTTCTGTACACCGGACCCCATCCAATCCCCATAGTTCCCCAATTAGTTTTGGCCTATGGGTCCCCTATACCCTTTTACTCTGCTTGATGTTCACCATAGCTGTACCTCCATCCTTCTGACATGCTTCAGTGAGCACACAAAGCCAACTTCAGCACCCTACCCAGCATCCCAGCATGCTGTCAGAACCTCCCACCTCCACGGTCCACTGAACGTATAGCATCCTCTACTCAAAACACTACACCAGCAAGAGTCTGGCAGTCATCTGGTGACGAGCAGAGCATACGGTCCGAAATGTTGAGTTAAACCAACTGGTCCTTCTCAGAAGCACGCAACTCACTGATATCTTTCATTGACATTGTGTAACCGTAAACCTCCAATTCATTCAACACGAATGATTGCAACATTCCAAAACTATAAGCTTTACATAGCTCCTGTATGGTTCTCTTAAAAAATATATATATATTCAATAACATTAGAGGGGAATGTAATAAAAACACCATCCCATTTCAAATCCATCTGAATGGTTTGCTCACCCATGCCAAAGTCCCCAATCAACAACCCGCCTGAACATCACCCCCACCCCTCCCATAGAAACGACACGTCTGATTCTTCGAGGAAGAAATTGAATGCTCGAACGATTTGCGTAGGCCTACAGTTTAAAAAAAAACATATCCCTTTAAACCCATGTACCTGATCGCTTTGTAAGAAATTTTAGAAAGATGGGTGCACTTGGCAGTATACCTTGATGAAAACAATCTGCTCCATAGTTGCTAGTTAGGATTCAGACTATGGGGCATGGAGAACGTGCTCCCAAAAGAAAGCGTGACGTCATTAGGTCTTGGGTCCATTTCAGCCCAACTTTATTGAGTTTTGCAATTGACTGAAAAGCTGTAGATCTCAAACTAAGGTCCAATCCTAAACTTGTGTTTTGTCAGAGGCTATGGCCACCGGCTACAGGGGCCGAGTGAGTATCGTGATGGCCGGATTACTGTATCAAAGGAGAATGAAAACGATAAGCATACGATGATGTTTGGGAGGGGGAGGGGCGGTTGAAACAATTTGATGGGCGCATAACGCAACAGATATTCCTTACTATCGAAAAACTCCACAGACAATAGATATCTTTGGAATGCATGTGCTTATCTTATAATCCAAGAAATCAATTTGACGAAGAACCATTTTAATAATATTATAACAATAACGGCAATTTATACCGCGCCAGTATCCGCAATATATGACGCTCATGGCGCAAACAAATATTATATCAAATCAGAAATAACAAAACAATTAAATTGTAAGCACCATCAGCTTCAGCATGTCTACAGCGTGTTCCACTAAACATTGTGCATGAAGAAATCGCTGAATATTCTCAGAAGTTGGTCGGACTAACTTATCAAATGTTATAGCATTTCAAGCTCATGGTCTTGTTTATATTTGGTGAAAAAATCAAGAAAATTCTAAAGATGCTAACCAGAGATATCTGTGATGTGGTAAGGTTATGTATTTTTCGACCTGCACACTTACTATTTGCTTGTTTAATCAATTATTTGGTTATTGGCATTTGTTACGCAGCGCTTGAAATATTGCATGGCCTTTATGTTGCATTTGGATAAGGGTGTTCACAGATGACAATTTTATATAATCAAATCTAATACCACTTGGAATGCCTAATATGAGGTGTTTAGTCAACAGCGACGTCTTTGTTTTTGGATAGGTCGACCTCCATTCTGGCTAACCTGTCAAAAGGGTTATAAAAAAAAAGTTGCGATAATATCGCCCCGAGTAGAACCGGAAGAAGCATCATGATGAAGGTTTTATCGCTGATTTCAAGTTTACGATATCGACGTGGAAATACTGTGTAGGTTGCCGGTTACACCAGAGTTTGGCACAGGATCTATGGCCTTTTGTCTCTAAAGTCTACCAGAAAAAAAATGAAGCAACAAGTCCACATTTGAGAAGTTTCTTAAAGCCAAACGAAACAAAATGTTCGTTATAATATATTGCATGTTTTAATCTTCTTGTCCTACATATCCAATCAAAAACCAACCTTCAAACGAAAAAAAAACATCAATTCAATCAGCTTTTATCTTAATTTCAGATTGTTCATAAAACATTTTTCGATTTCATTTATTAAAAAGAGGGACCAATTTTGATAACGTTCAACGGTTTGTTACAGCTGGCTGCCGCTCCGGTGTTTTCCCATCACAACAAAAGTTTGGTAACACAATAACAAAAAATGAAGCTTTGTACATGAATGGCAATGTTTACTATCGACTACTTCGATTTGTTGTCTACGAATGTAGGATAAACAACAACGGTAAAATGGGATAATTCAACAATAATTTCATAATAATTGTTTTCTTTACATTTGTTTTATGAAGAATATGATTATTTATCTTCGAATATCCCAGAATCATAATCTTTAAACAGCGTTCAATTCAAGTAAAATGTTTATATTATTTTATGAAATAAATTGTATAGCTGAGGAATTTTATAGAGTGACTTTTAGAATAAGCATAGAGGACGCCCCCTATGATATCAAACTTTTGTTGTGATGGGAAAACATTGCAGCGGAAGTCAGCTGTCAACGATCAGTTGAACCTTATCAAAATGGCTTTCTTATGTTGAACAGATCTAGAATGATAAACGTTGTATGACCAAGCTAAAAATAAGACTAAAGATGATTGCACATAATTGTTTTCTCGTTGAATGTTTAAATGTTAGCTAGTTTTTTCAGTGCAGGTCTGTAGAACAATAAAACATAATACAAAAATGCACTGCATTATCGCATCGCATTGTTTGTTTTCATTTGTTTTTTGAAAATTTTTATCAAATTGGGACTTGTTGAGTCAGTAGTTTTTTAATAGATTGGAGAGACAAAGGCCATTTATCCTGCCCCAAATTTTTGTGAAAACATCGATTGAAAAAATGTATAAATGTAAGTCTGGAACAAGAGACGAACCACTTCCTTGCCAGCTCCGAGTCATACGCAGCGAGTTCAGACCGGCTCCTCCGAGGTATTTCCCCGTCGATATCCTGAAATCACCCGATTAACCTTCATCATGAAGCTCCTTCTGGTTCTACTGGCAGCGACAGTTGCCCTAGCGAGTAAGCCTGAGTATTTATTCATCATTCTTGTTGCGATTATGAGACTTCCTAGAAATATGCATTGCCACCTTACCGAAAATATGCATTGAAGAAGTGATGCATTGCATTGTGGGACAGATTGCTCTCTTTTCGTAAGTGTCCCATGATGCAATGCTGTATATACCTTCACTGCACACTTCCGATCTGTCTGTAAACGACTACACCCTTTGTAACCAAACCTATAACTAGGTTTACAAACTGCATACAGTTTTACGGTTGTTAGAAGAGTAAAGTGTTTTATTTTGCATAATTCTTTTCCCTACAGGCAGCGCAGCAGTGAAGAAGAGTGATGTTTCCAGCGTGTACCAGTTCGGCAAGTTCATTTCGTGCTATGGGGGTGCGGGTTTTTTCGATGGGTTGGACTACAACGGCTATGGTTGTTACTGCGGCTACGGAGGCAAAGGAACACCGTTGGATGACACCGACAGGTTAGAAGAAAAATCATCGCTTTGAATTTCCAAAAACACTTGCTATAAGTCTCGTGAGTAAAATCTCGATCCTGGCAAACGCAATGGGTATAACGTCGAACTTTGAAACCAAACTGTCAATTTCAGACCAGCTTGCTGCGGTACGAAAAAAAACGCAGTTTCTAATGAGCACAGTGATGTCCTTGGGCAGGATAGTGTTCCACAATACACATTTTCTTCGGGTATACAAACGATCGATTCAGGATTCGGCATTGTAATTTAATACAGTGTACAATGTTTTTACAGAACACAACACATGTATCTTTATCACAATGCTTATTTTAAGTTGAACAACCATAAATGAAGACAATTTTTCTGGTGATTTGATATATATGCCAGAGAAATTGAGTGCAAGCTTAGAAACACATAATTAGGTTAGAGTATAGAGATGTACAAAGTTCAAATTGCAATACTTTTCTTCGTCAGATGCTGTCAAGTACACGATAACTGTTACGGCAAAGCTACCGCGGAGGCCGACTGCGGTTCTTGGGACCCCTACGTCATAATTTACGACTATGAACAAACCACTGATGCGTCTGGAAACTGTGTCATCAAATGCAGTAAGTAATTTCTTCAAACTTTTTTTCTGGTCCCATTATTCTCTCTGCACCCATTTCACCGACCGACGTACTGGCTGCTGATGAGTCACTGACTACCGCGTGTGAGTTTGACTTGAGTATCTGTCTTACTGAGTGATTGTCACTTGTGACTGCGATTGGCTGTAGACTGCTGAAGAGAGCCGGGCAGTACTATCGTATAGGATTACCCCGTAACGTTAACGTTACAGGCTAAATCCGGCAAATTGGCCAATGGGCTAAATCCGGCAAATTGTGTGGACCACATGCATGAAAAGAATCGCCGTTTGCGAGATAGCCACGCCCCTTAGACAACCCAATGGAATTTTTGTACACTAAATTTTGTTTGTCTCAGATTTTGCCCGTTCCGTGTCCATCTGTATATCATATAATTGTACAATATTTCACAAGCTGCGTCGATGCGATTCTAACGCGATTCTATCAGTGAAACTACTGACCGGGAAAAAACTAACAATTTCAAATGTCCCGCGCTGCGAATTTGTCGACCATATCCCACAATGCACTTAGAAAAATGAACTCTCCGTGGCAAACTCTTGGTGGCGCACTGAATTGTGAATCGCCCGAATTGGATAGGACTTTGTGGGCTCTAGGACCAACTTAACTAGACAAGTACATGCCTTGCCCTGTTCTTTGCTGTAAGCCCGGAATGTATGCATGGAATTGTCCATTGTGTAATACATGTAGTTATATTGTCGATGCCATTTTCTGGATAAAGTCAGGCCTCCTCAGCTCCCCTCACAAATAACTATTTTAACTTCATGTGTAGTTTATTTCATTTCATTTGTGGTTTTATTTCACTATCCACAGTGATCCAAAATGGAAATAGTGAAAATTGTATCATTTATCAAAGTAGTGGCAATGTGACTTGATTAGAAATTACTCGGAGCTAGGAGTGATCAACTTCAGCACACAATCGATCACAAAACTAGAACATCATCTTTAATTTTGTGTCTCTTCTCTTTCTCTCCTCCCCACCCCCTTTTCTTGCAGAGAAAGCGGCCGACTATTCTTGGTATTCTACCAATCCCGAATGCAGAGAGTTCATGTGCGAATGTGACCGCGCGGGGGCGCAGTGCTTCGCTGAAAAGCGCCCAACGTACAACCAAGCTTACGAGTCATATGACAAAGATAGCTGCTAAATGGGTACGGCACATATTTCCGACACAGTCGACTAGACGTGGTCTAAACATAACGCAGTTGGAGATATCTTCTTAAGTGGCTTGATCCAAATTGGTAATTCAATCTTTATTAACAAGAAACAAATTGTTCTAGAAAGTTTTGCAGACAGCACGCCTGAATAAATTATCCCCTATATTGCTGATCCCGATAAAATACTGATTTTTATAAAATGATCACCAAAAAAGTCTTAGTTAACACAACATTTGCATCTTAATTTTCTTTAAAGGCAAAGCTCGCATCTATTAAGCACATATTTTCATGATACGGTATGAAAACTAGCCTCGACTAGCATGATAATGTTGTATTTGCAGCACATGTACACAGATTGCTGCCACATCAATAATCCTTCATTTGGAGAAGATATTAATCGAAACAAAAGTAAGGTTCTTCTACATTGATGCTCATGCTTTTTTTGTGAATTGTACCAAATAAATTGCTTTTAAAATTCAGTTTAGAATTACTCGGATTTAATACAGATCAACTAGTATAGACAATACAAATGTTGAGGAAAATAAAGCAGTAGCCATAGTAACTGCAAAATATATTACGAGTGTTAGGTGTGATTGCTTTAATGTGTAAACAGCATTTTCGGGATTATCTTCAGGGTTGAAATATTCGTTATACAAAAAGTTAGTCCACACTTAAGAATCTAACAACCGAGCATTTAGGCCATCAGCCTGGGGGTTTGGCCAGTATCAAATCAGGGCATGAATGAATATAGTGCGCATGCGCAAGGTATACCGCCCCTAGAATGGTAACAAGCATTTTGATGGACATTTTGAAAAAAAGGGTGATAACACCCAAAAAGCTGCCACCGCTGCAATGCTATCACATATTTTCCAACTCTGGATGTGTATATCTTGCCAAAAATCGCTATGACGAGTATTCCACTCATTTGATACCGGTGGCCAATATTTTGGACCAAGGCTGATGGCCTAATTGTTTGTTTTCGTTTCCAAGCATTGGATACTCTCTTGCTCATTATTTGTGACTCAATAAAACTTTGGCCAGCAGCATACCTACCTAGCCACTTCTCGTTATGTCAGATCCTGGTACACCAGCTACACGTGGACCACACGAACAGGGGATTAGATCTCATCTAACACCAGGGGGCGGTGTTCAAGCTAGCCTCTTTTGCAAACAAGATCAACACATTTGTATGCCAAAGCTCGCATAGCACACCTGACGGAACCCTCCCTCCCACCCACCCACCCACCCACCCACCCAACCACCCACCCTCTCAATTAGCCCCTAGTTGCCCCTCCCCTCTCATCGAATGCCCATGCCCCTCCCCTCTCATAGAATGCCCACAACCTCTGGTTGGTACCCCTATTACGAGTCCCAACCCGCACGAACATTTCTTGACAAACAAAACTAATGTCAGTGTGTTTAAACAGGCTGCTTTGACCTTTTCGGAATATTCTAACTTCCCAACACGATTTTTTGTTGAAGGCCGTTATCATCGACTCTACTGCGTGCTTATTTGGGTCATATGTCAAGATCTCACCTGTTCATAAGAATTAATCCCAATTGGGTACACTTAACCTAGAGCCCGATATCAGTTTGATCTCGTTGAAATGTTGGACCCTCAACGCAGAAAACGTGTAAGGTTTGTTTATTTAAAGAGGCACAAATGACAATATAATCATTTTATGTCAATAAGAATTGCCGTGGTACTTATCTGACTTGTAGTAAAAGAACTGGACTCGTTTATCTAACGTGTGGTGGTTTTTTTTCTCGGCACTTGATCTTCGACCTTCCAAGGTCTCTCCGTCGGTTTTTTTTGTCACAGTCACTGCTGCCTTCGCAAGCACTAAAACAAAATGGACGCATTTTTAAAGCTCCTCCTGATTGCACTTGTTGCCGGCTTTGCACAAATTGCATCGTCGACAGGTGAGTTGTAATTACCATTTCTATCGATAACGAGGCTTTACACCTTACAACCGAGATATGTTCCAGTCACCATCTTCACCCCATAAAACAAAAATGGGCTGTGTACTAGGCCTATATTAAGATTTAATACGATTTTAAGCTCTGTGAGTTTTTCAAATCGGCAGTTTGCTCGAAACATTTTTATGGACACTGTGTGTTGGATCACACGGTTACTTATTTATAAAAAAAAATCATCCGTGAGCGTTCCTTAAAGATTTTGACTCGTTTGTCTTCATTCGCGTTATGAATCATTCGTCTGTCGTTTGGAATTTATTCCACAGAGCCTAATCATGAACAGAAAAAATCGGTATGAAAACTCGGCTTTTTTATATATTTTATCAGCCATTACTAACCCGTAGCTGTATTTAGGTTTGAGCTGTTCTTGTAATTTTGGGGAGAAATTAAGTTGTTGGATAAAAGCATACATAGGGAAAATGTCTTCTTAGTAAAATGCACTGCACCAATATACAAGGCACAATAAAACATTGTTTATCTTTTTGTTCGTGATGTTGTTCAAACAATTTTTTATATGGAATTCCTATGGAAGCGTTAAAATTAGGATATGATACAAATCCTAAAATCTGATATGATACAAACTTAAAAAAAAAATGTTTAGTCATAATTATGACATATCTTTTAATTATGACTTATTATTAAGTCATAGTTATGATTTAAACATATCACAATAATGACTTAGTCATTGGTCAAAATATTGACTTATCTCAAGATTATGACTTAGTTGTAAGCATGATAAAGACTTAGCATAATTTTTTTTAACTTTTTATCGTGTCCCTGTTAATAACGCTTCCGTACCTATTAATTGTAAAAAAAAAATTAAAAAAAAAAAGTTCGCTAGTACACAAATCCAGTGGGTCATCTTTAAAATGCAGTTTGATTATTTGGGATTTTACGTGTTTTCCGTACCTCAGTGACCTTAGAAAACTGTCCAGGCAACATTTACTCCAAGACGGGCGAAGCCTCATTCACGCTCCCAACAGCCAAGGCTGACCCCGGAGTTGACGTGACAAAACTGGAATGTGATCACGCTCACGAGCCCACGTTCTACACAGAGTACGTGACCAAAGTCATCTGCACTGCCGAAGACGCAGAGGGGGGCAAGGCATCTTGTGAATTCAACATTTATTCACGTGAGTATTCATAAACATGTACGGATAGTGTACTAGTACTAGGGTGAGGCAAAAAGAAAGTGGCCGAGTGAGAACAAGATATAAAATGATAAGGGCTCGTTCCATTTAATAAAACAACTAAAACACAGGAATAAAAAGCACCTGTTATTAACTAGTAACTGTGCAAATTTCAAGCAAAATGCTTACTCAATTTACAAGTTATTTCTAATTTTAAATTAATAGAAATACCGCAACATTTAGCTGTCCACCACTGGTCTTCACCGATACGATTTAATGAATATTCTTTTAATACAATGAGCAAAAATTGCAAAGGAAAACAGTCAAAAATCACCTTTCTCATTTGAGAAAAAAATAAATTTTACAAAACCCAAAATCTGACAGTAAAAATAAGGCTTTTGTCTTGACTCAAATTAATAACATTATTGGTTGTGTTTGAATGCATGTGTGTAATATCAAGTTATTACTCAGCTAAATAGCTTCAAAGCACCTAGCTTTCGATGGACAACTGTCAAAATGGGGGTTTTTTCAGTAAAACATGCTTAATTTATGATAGCAAGGACAAATTTCATCCACATCTTTTTCAAATGAGGAACAGAACATGCTCTTTAAATACGTGATTTATTAGTGTATCAAATGCAATGTGTAAGGCAGAACAATAATTCGTCCCGGTCACTTTTTTTTACTCACCCTGTATGCTATAAATCAACGCTCCCTCCCTACTAGAGTGAAGACATTTACGATACTGTTTTCATATAGCTCATGTTAATCTTTTAGCCACAATTTAAAACATAGGGTGTTTATTTCAGAACTGTTGAAGAAAGGTCAATGTTCACACTGCAAACAAAAATTGCTTTCACACTTTCAAACCTCGTTCATAGAAATTTAGCTTAAAAGGTGCACAACAATAGAGTTTAAAGGCATCTGAAACCGTCCAAAGTCTCTTTCATTTTTTAGATGAATTCCACTTATACAAAAACTGTTTCATTGAATTGATAGCGGAAATAAAAGGTGTAGTGATCGACGGCCAAAACGAAGAACTGGCTTTTCCCAAACATGAGTAGCCTTTATTTTATTCAGATGATTTCTCCATGCACTAATCGTAATCCAAGGTACAGGTGTGTAAATTTACAACAAGCTTTCCTTGTATTCCATGTTCGACGAACTTGATCAGATAAATACATGCATAAAAGCTGGTTTTCAATTTATATAGAAAATATTACGGAATTGAAGAGAAATTCCCTAGAAATAAGTTATCAGGGTTATTTATGGCACGGATCAGTATTGCTATAAGAAAGTAGTATAAGCAGGAGCTTTCAGACCCCGCTGAGAAGTAAAATGAGGTGGACTTCATTCTGGAGCAACTGGCGCATGCGTGTTGTTAGAGGCAAAACATCACAGCAACTTCGTATTCGGATTTTGTCCTTGCCTTTTCTATTTGCGTTGAAAATGTATTCTTTATTGAAAGGGTAGTTTAAACCATTTTGTACTTAAGAAACCTCGTTTTGTTTCAATTATTTAATGTTTCAGCTGACGGTGCGGGATGCCCTAAGCGACAAGACGCCACTAACGACAAATGTGTGTGCAGCCCATTACGTGCCTTTTTCGATCCGTGCGAGTGCGTTGGTAATTACAGCGGTCTCACCTGCCAAGGTAAGATATATTTAAACTGTCAAATTCATATGCTAAAATTCCTGATAAATTCCTTAAACATTTTTTTTATAAACACAAGCTAACCAAGATGCAATGTGCCCAGCGCACACAGAGTGTTTGATTTGAAGACAATATTCAACTCCAGAGTCGACTTTCTGCATTTATCATATCATCCTGCATCCGTTCTTTGCAGTTTTCAATAAATTCACACTCGTGATAAAACATGACCGATGAAATCTGGTTTTTATTGTTGTAGTCTTTTTGAGAGACTACAACAATAATGAAAAACATGTGTAAGAAGCTTTAAAAGCACATGCACTTTAACACGAAACCATACAATATAATTCACAAAATGACCCGATGGTTTGTTCCTGTGCTGTAAACGTTCACCATTAAATAAGAATTTGATTCCCGTAATAAATGAACTTAGATTGTAATTCTGATAACACCAGGTTAAATGTAAAGTCTTGGGAAATGTTTTGCCTATTATTCAGTTGCGCCCCATTATGTTACACCTCATTTTCTTTCAAAATTGCAGTTCTGAACGCAGATAAGTGCACGGGAACCAGCGACCCCCCGTCGTGCGATTGCAGCTCGAGTCCCTGCAATTGCAAGGATGGTTTTAAGGGAGAGACATGTGAAATCGGTGAGTATACATCTAAATGAAATATTGTGATGGATTACCATACCTGAATTGCAATCTCGTCCCCAGGGTTCACTTTATTTCAACCTCGTTTCCAATAGTAAGCCCTGGGATGGAACTTTGCTTCCTGTATCCTGATTCGATGCCGCAATTAGCAAGTTATGGAATTATACCGTGTACTTGGTGTTATTATTTCCAACGTGTTTTACGTGTTTTTACGCTCATTGTAATTATTATGTTTACACCTTCTCAAAAAAAAATATTCCTTTCCAATTGCTCGTATTAACACAAAATGTGATACCGCATATTATTGCCTGGATAACATTGTAACATTTTAACTTTAAAGTCGTGTGTTCGTAACTCACGTCGCCGCAAGACACCGCAAACAAAAACAACCGCTGATGTAAAGCACACGTACACAGGCACCAGACTATTCCTTATTTGCATACGTATCCAAAAACAAAATGGATGCAAATGATCCAATACCAGTGTGAGAAAGCAGGTAGTGGTGGGTGCGTACTACTCGTAGGGACCGTGTTAAAAATGTTCAACTCCACAGCAGTACATGTGTACACCTGACTGCGTTTCATTCATTGTTTCAGACTTCCAAGCTCCGATGATAACATGTCCGCAGGATATTTTCACAAGAGAGGAATCAGTCCAACTTCCACCAAAAGACAACTTGATCGTAAGTGACAATGATGGGGACGAGCCGTCGGTGAAATGTAGCCCCGAGCTTGGTACTTTTGTGAACAGCACAGGCAACACAATCCGCAGCGTAACATGCTCGGCTAGGGACACCGTGGGCAACAGGGCTGATTGTTCGTTCAAGGTTGTGATTGGTGAGTTTACTAATCGGTACTTTTTTGAAGCAACAAACAAAGGCACTGTCCTACCGAATCCCTTACTCAGTTTAAAAGTAAATAACAATCCGTAAAAGTAAATAAACAATCTTGATTGATGGATACCTTTGAACCGAATAAGTTCCCTTTGTAGTTATTTTATTGCAGAAAATATGATCTTTTGTAAAATATTGGCGAAATTAAAGAGAGCAATACCCCTGCTTGAGGTGTGATTGCCTCTTTCTTCCCAGCCCCGTTCAAAATATTGAGAAAAAAACAAAAGGACATGGTTTTGTTTCATATTAAACCAACTTGGTTGACTTCCAGAAAAAAGCGAGGCCCTTAAGAGCCCCCCAACAAATCGTGAACTAAATTTACGTTTTGCCAGCAGACCTGAAACTAACAAAAGTTATCTGCCAAATATCGAACAAATTCCAGTATCTTAGCCAATATCTTATTAAATATTTCCAGTTATTTTTGTACTTGATTTATTGCAGATGTTGAACCGCCCCGTATTCCATATTGCCCTGGCATTATCCACACTAACAATTCACAGCACGAGTGGCCCGTCGATATAGCTGTGGACAACAGCCACCAAAAACTGAACGTCACGTGTGAACCCAAGTCAGGTGACCCCCTCACAGACTACATCACTAATGTGACTTGCTATGTCCAAGACATGGCCGGCAACGCTGCTGAGAAGAACTGCACCTTTAAGATATACCTGGGTGAGTGTCTTTGTAAAACTTTGTAATTTTGAGCAAATATAAGGGTGACGGCAGTAGAAATGTGACTTGAATTGAAGCCAATTTTCAGATTTTATGAGTTGTTTCTGTTTACAGTTAATGATTGTAATAATGTATCGTTTAACTTTATCAACAATATGAGGTTATTTGTCCCACTCTAGAGTACACGGAGTTTCTGTTTCCTCAAAATGGCGTTGCACAGCGTCCCATTTCTCTAAAAATAAAAAAAAAAAAAAAAAGTCATGTTTCTTTTTTGAGGCGTTTTGTTGAACTAATTTGTTCTTCTGAGGCATTAAGGTTCAAGCTCTAACAGTGACAGTCTATGCGTAATAGAGTACATGTCCAAGAAAATGTCACTGATAACCATTTTTTTCACGAGTTTATTCTGAAGATTGTTGATGAGGTGGGTTGCATGGTTTACGAGTAATTCGCCACCACATATTCCAGGTCCATGACTACAATAAAGGTTTTTGAGAAAATACCATATATTGAATGGTTTTCTTTTCTTTAAATGATACAGATGGGGGTACCTGCAGTAATAGTGACGCCAATTGTGACTGTAATAGTGGTTGTTTTTGTAAAGATGGATTCAGTGGTCTTACATGCGAAGGTATGATTCATTTATTTCTTCATCTTACCTAACTCTTTTTGCAGTGATGGTGTTTATTTTCAGTCATGTGTCATCTAGTTTATGACGATTCCTTTGCCCCGTGCGTATACAATGGGCAACTTGGTTAAATTTCATTCATATTTCTAAAGTTGTTTTGTGTTCTCTTGTTTGAAGTCCATGTTGCAATTTCATTTGTAAGGTCAGGGAATCGGTCTAGCTGGCTTGCACCCGTTCATATGTATGTAATTGATTGCAAACAAAATGTGGTCGAACTAAATATGGTAAATTGGGGAAGTATTTGAAAAAAGGCCATTAATTTCCAACACTGTTCAGCCGACCAAGGTGGGAAATTGATACAAAAATACCACTTTTCTTGAATATGATAGCACACAAGGTGCAATGATTTTACAGGATGCTTTAGACTGTCATTCACTAACAGTCAAGTTAAAGGTATTTCATAATAATTTGGTAGATTTTTTTTTGGTGTTTACAGACATTGTAAATTCCCTTTAAAATAAAGCTCACTGTCAAAAAGGGAGAGAAAAGTCGAAAGGTTGAGGTCAGTTTTTCCAAACGTTGCAGGGAAGGCTGTTACAGATTTATCGTAAAGCAAACAGACCAGGGCGAATTCTATGGCCGAACTCTAAACTCGTTGGATGCGTCCAGATTGCAGCCAGATACGGACGGTTTCTAGGTTGATTGATGACTTTAAATACACAATAGCTGTTATCAATACGTTAAATACGAAATGGACAGATAACTGGGCAGGTATTAAGTTAGGTAGCTACATGTCCAGTTGAACTTTGACCTGAGAAAACTCATGATAACGGTGATCTTACTGTTTACTTGGTGCCGAATCAATTAGCAATCTATTTTAACAAGCATTCGCTATATATTTTGTTTGGAATATTCCACGTTGTAAGTAACAACTCCACCCTTGAAACCGAATAAAAGTGGCTGGTCTTTAAGATGGTCGTGCTAGACCCCTTTCTTTTAGCTTGATATTGTGTGTCCGCGTTTTGTTGACAAAAATCAGTCGAGCGGATTTCGATATGCTGACGAGTATTAAAGGCAAAACACTGAATTCTTGCATGAATATGGCACTTACTACACTATTCATTCCATTTGTTTTCCCAAAATTGTGCATTAAAATGTTGGGAGTAGAAGCGGGACGCTGCTCATTGAAGGTTTAAATTACCCTAATGTATTTCTATCAAAGTTTGGGAAGCCTATTGCTCATTAAACTAAAAAATACAGTTCATTTGATTTTGTTTTCAGAGGGAATGTCCATATCATCTTAAAGAAACAGTTCTTTTCCCCTTATTCCTTTACATTTGTTTTCTTCATGTTTAGTGGAAGACGGTAGCGATTGTGCATCATCAAGTGAGACGGGTCCGGGCTGTGTGTGCGACGGTGGCTGCACCTGCAGAGATGGATACAAGGGCGCTAATTGCGACATAGGTACTATACGCGCTAAAAAAAAGTCCTACTTTTGATCCTAAATAACTCCGTTGTTTACAATGGAATTAAGCCAAAATTCAGATTATGTAAAGAAGGCATGACAAATTACATATGTAATAACAAATTACAGATCTACAACACTGACTGGTTCCTGCCCGTTTTGTTGTCGTAGGAAATGTGGACTCCTATAAAATATGGCCACTTTCACCTCATATGGACTTTAGCTAAACCTGACCAGTCACTGTCTGATTATCTTTACTAAAATAATGAGCTTGCGCAATGAAACCAAGCAGTCCGTAGTCCAAATTATGTTTTATACTACGCCTTCCCATAATTTGATAAAGCATTGGTGCATATATAAACACATTGCAGTTCGGTTTGACGAAAATACCCAAAACATACTATTCAGGATGTCTCAAGAGCAACTTTTGAATAGCGAGTTTTTTTTAATAGTAAAATGTCTTTTTCTTGATTAATTATCCTTAGATTATCAGCCCCCGGAGCTGTCCAACTGCCCCTTCGGGGAAATCTGGTCCCAAATCCCCGTGGTGACTTACCGACCCATGTGGACAAAGGATAACAACGACACCAATGCTCCAACGACTGTCACCTGCTACCCTGAGGAAGGCTCGGAGTTCTACGATTATAGGACCGACGTGACCTGCTCGGCGGAAGATGAGTCCGGAAACAAGGAATCCGACTGCCAATTTCCTGTCCGGAGAAGTACGTTTAGTTCCATCTTTCTTGTTACCATCTTCATATTTCCAAACTTTACCTTTTATTCTTGTCGAAGCGAAGCTTACCTAACCTTACGTTGGTCCACCTTCCGATCGAGCCAATGAAACCAAGTCTTTGCAGATGTCTCTTTCCAGCATCACAACGTATCTCCGATGGTGACTTCAGACCAGTGTATCTCTTTAAAGAAGATTGATGAATTGTTGTGGCCGGCCTCGCCGGTTTCAGAGGACCATGAGTTGGTTGCCATTATATCAACTTCGAGGCTACTTCTTCAGGATGCCTAACAGCTAACACAGTTGTATATCCATGCGAAACTTTAGCTAACAGGTCATCTTTTGGGGGGTCCATAACAAAATATGCGATTTTTTTTTCATTTTTTTATTGTGAGGAAGTAACATTTTGCATATTATTGTTTGTTATCAATCAGAGGAGCTCGCATTACTGCAATAATAATGCCAAGAAATTAGATCCTGACAATAGTTTTCTTATGTTTTTACCATTAATTTTTAGATTCTGCAAGTGAATGCGAGTCGGATGGCAACAACTGCTACAATTGTCAGAGCAGATGCAGGTGTATGCCTGGCTATAGGGGACCCAAATGCCAAGGTATGCTTCTTCAAGGGTGGTCTGCTCACGGACACATAGACCATTGTCAGGTTGTAATCAAAAGCGAGGCTGGAAGGGAAAATAGTCTGGTTCCTTTTTGCACAAAAACAACATCACCAGTACTGTTATTGGATATACAGGGAGCATGACTGCTATGGTGGTAGCATGATGAAGGTCTATAGACCATTATCATGTTGAAGCCATTTGATTTTTTTCCCATATAAATCGATGTTAACAAAGCGAGGCTGGAAGGAAAAATAGTCTGGTCCCTTTTTGCACAAAAAAATATCATTCAGTACTGTTATTGAATACAGGGAACATGACTAAAATGGTGGCCGCATGATAAAGGTCTATTTCCAGCATCCTCATCTGGCAACAGTACTTTTTCAAAGTCGGTTTCCCGAATCTTGAACGTAAACTATATTCAGTTGACGGTTACATGTCATTACCATGCAAGCATTTACATCACTCGGGATACATTGTTATGATTCACATCATGTTGATTTTGTTTCTTGACAGTTTGTGCTGACTGTGATAACGGCGGCTACCGTGAAAATCCTGAGGATTGTCAGTGTCAGTGCAAAGGACTGTATCATGGTCTGGACTGCGCTGGTATGTCATGCATGTTGGAGAAAAACGAGATTTCAGAGTATCTGGGGTTTCGTTGACTTTGCATTATACTTGGACTTGATGTGGTGAACGTGAAAATGCAAGTCGGCAGAAGTTTCATTTGGCTATTTTTACATTAGGTATATTCAAGTCATTGTCATTTCAGGTTATTGGAATTCTACAAATCATGTTGACTTGAATTCTATCCACAGAATGCTATGAGCCAAATGCTGACCACTGTCTGAACGGAGGCACCTTTGTTATGGATACGTGCAGTTGTGATTGTGCGGGGAATTGGACTGGCCGCCATTGTGATCAAAGTAAGAACATTAATTCAAAACTTTATTCTATTTTTATTTTGTTATCCTGATCATTCAGGAGATACGTTGTATTTCAAATAAAGCTGATTTCAGCAGCTTGGTATTCGCAATGAGAGATTTATAGAGACTGAACACATTTTAAACTCCGGTGAAAAACGTCGCTGTTTGTTTCGTGACGTCAGAGTTAGTTGTCATTCCTATTCCCGAACCGGATTTCCTACCAACGATTTGTTCCAAGCCAGGGATATCCGCGTTTTTGCAGAATTAAGTTTATGGAGGGGAATAAAGGTAAAAGGTGGTTGCAGAGTGGGGCTGGCATCTTCACTGGGTGCATCCCCTCGCCAGCCAAATTTGTTGGTTGAGATTTGGCTCTGACAGTGGTTGAACTTGAATTTGGAGGCAGAACCCTGGCAACCTTAAAGTCCTCTTTAGTTCTTGTGGATGATGGAGAAATCAGAATCATTAATATATACGTCCTATTATGTAAAATGGAGTGGTGGGGAAGGGAATTCCAAACATCTCTTTGATCTTGTCATCAATGTAGTGCCTGGAGATGAATGCCTAAGTGTGCCTCCCGCAGACAGAGTAGGGTGTCTCTGTTCAAACAGTATTTGTACATGTGAACCTGCCTACACAGGACCGAAATGTGACAGTAAGTTTCATTTCATTTTTGTTTTGGAGTGGAATTTTCAACATTGTTTTGTTTTCTTTATACATATGCTGTTTCTGTTTTACAAACGTGCATAACTGTTCATTATGTCATAAATAACTCTCCTTTACTCATGTTTTGTTGAGCCTTGTAAATTTACAAGCTTTTTATTTTTATTTATTTTATTTTAGGGTAATTAAAGGCAAGAATGAGGGAAAAACAGACAGTTATAGTTGTAACATAAAGTCGGTCAGAAATGGGATTTAAGTAAGATCTGACGGTTTGCTTTCATTGTGCAAACTCTTTTTAAATGACTCTTTCTATAACAAATAGTATTATGCACATGTTGATTTTTACTCTTTTTTTTAAATTGTGTCTCCAGCATGTAAACCGTGCCAAAATGGCGGCAACAATCAGGATTCAAGCACCTGTATCTGCACGTGTCCAGGATACTTCATTCAACCTCTTTGTTTAGGTATGTAGAAACTATGTACACCAAACGAGATTCACATTGAAATGTCTCTGCTTGGGTTTTTATTCGCATTTTTATAATGCATCGTCAAAAAAAAGTATCAGATGCAAATGGCGCTATGAGCTTTGCTGTAAGTAAATTGTTAAAATCAATTCAATTCAATTTAATTAAAAATTATCATTTACTTCCAAAGCTCCGTAGTGGACATCTAAGTAGGCCAATATATTATTAATAACTGAATACCTTAGAATCAGAAATAAATTTAAAACGGAATTAAACGACCCCAGAGGCAAGCATAGAAGCATGTTCTGATTCCGAGCACCTGAAATATGTTTCGTAAAAATGTTTTTCAAATGAACTCAACTTTTCTTGTTTATTCCAAAGCTTCAATTTTTAATTTGATCTTCTAACTTACCGTAAAATTTTGTTCAGACTGTGATACATCTGTTGTGTGCCAAAACGGAGGGACGTTGGATGAAAATACGTGCACTTGCCAATGCGTGGATGGATGGAAAGGGAAGGATTGCAGCGAAGGTGAGATTGGTTTATGATAACCTCTTGTCAGATACTCCATCTAATATCATGGTTAAATATAAGACTTTGCTAGATTCGTTTTCGTTTTCTGGATCCCCCCCCCCAGGCTGCGTCTCCATACTTGGCCCATGATTATTAATTTTTAGCAAAGTCTTTACAAAAATTTAAACAATCTTAACTTTACTCTAAACGTAAGGCTTTGATGTGTCTGAAGCGTAGAAGAATGACCTATTTTAAGCCCAAGTCCGCAAAGAGCCGTAACCGATTTCTTCCTTTATTTTTTTTTTTTTTTTGGGGGGGAGAGCGTCATGACTGAACGTGTTTACCCTGGCACTGTTTACGTAGAGGTCGAGATGTTTAATCTTATATACTTAGTATTCGATCTTTGTTTTATACTTCAGTATTCTTTGTTAAACCAAGAACAGAAAAAAAGGATTTGTTTTGTTAGTACCAAATTTGTATCTACACTTTTTACCTCGACCCTTACTCCTCTACTTAAAATTAAACTCACTTGGTAAAGAATCGGAACGGCAATTTGGAGGTCGCAGGTTCAAACCCTGCAGCAGTCAATGTGTTCGTTCAACTTGTAAAAATTACTTTGGATAAACATCAGTTTAATAATACATGTACTATTGTTTCAAATTATTGCCAATTTGCAGCTGCGACTTTTGGAGATAAATGCCCAAGCGACATCATCATGCAGCCGGATGCGGGACAGACAACTGCGAAAGTCACCTGGAAAGACCCAACCGAGACCGACGCGAGCGTTGAGTGTCAACCAGCGAGTGGTAGTCAGTTTCAAGACGGTACGACAAATGTAGTTTGCACGGCAACGTACACTGGCGGAACGACCTCTTCATGTTTCTTCAAAGTTATAATAGGTAAGAATTCGCGCTATTTACAATGCAGTGCGCCACCAAGAGTTTGCCATGGAGAGTCCATTTTTCAAGTTTAAGGTCGACAAAACATGGCCCATTTCAATGAAAATCAGTAGACAACTTGAGCTAATTTGTTATAAATTGGGGCATCGCGATCTGCCGCCTTACCAAAAATACCACATTGATAAAAGGGGGAAAAGGGCAAGGATATACTCGAATCATACGCTTACGAAACTACTGACCAGAAAAACTAACAATTTCAAATGTCCCTCGCTGCGAATTTGTTGAACCATCTCCCACAATGCACTGGGAAAAATGAACTCTCCGTGGCAAACTCTTGGTGGCACACTGCATTGAAAATCACCCGAATTCGGGGTCCGCCCGAAGGTCTAAAGGCTCCATAGGCAGAGGGTTTATTGATCCAAGCATCAATTGTCTGAACACACACATTTCCTACAACCGGGTGTCATTTGTCCGGAAATGAAATAAGGGCCTTTAACCGGGTATTTGATGCGATAGTCCGAAGGTTCGTTAATACGAAGGTTCGAAAATCCGAAGCTTTAATCAGTCCCAAGGTTTACTAGTCCGAAACAGCAACAAGGTTCACAGTCTGAAGGTTCATGAGCACACTAGGTTAAACGGTCCGAATTTACAATAATGTTCAGTGCTGTCAATTCAGACAGTTGAACCTCGTTGTCGATTCGGACTTTCGAATTGTTTATCGTTTATTCAGATTATCGAGCCTTCGGATCATTTAACCTTATTTTTTTTTCGGACTAATGAACACTTCAGGCTATTGAAACTTTGGATTGCCGAACCTAACCTTCGGACTATCGAACCATTGGACAATCGAACGCTCGCAAAGGATTTGTTTAAAGCAGTTTCCGCTTAATTTCACTTCGAACTTTCATAAATATCTATCTTAGTAACATGCCTCCCGGGCAATCTTGCAAAAATAAGACCCGAAAGCATGAAATTCCTTTTTATATCAAATGAAAACGATGTCTCTAGGTCATGACCGGTCATTCCATCGGGTTTCATATTGGCTTTTTTCTGTTCTTTTTTTAGAACTCTCTGTTCATGCCTGACTCAAGTAGTGCAAAAGCCTTTTCCTCCATATTGACGCTATACCCATAAAGCTTTACATCTTTTGGGATGACAGGAAGAGTAACGAAGTAGCAAACTGTTGTTTTTTTCTATCTAGATGGAAGAGCACCCTTTGTCAACTGCCCAGCAGACATGGAACCCTATCACCAAAGATGGAAGGACACTGCTGTGATCTCATGGGCTAGCGTCACAGCCGAAGACGAAGTGTCTGGTACCCTGCCTGCTACCTGCATCCCACCGAGCGGCACTGTGTTCGGTTCGTCGACCGTGGTATGCACGGCATCTGACCAGGCTGGGAACTTGGGATTCTGCACTTTTGATGTCACGGTGTATTTACGCGGTAAGGGTGTCTTTAACAATAGACAGGGTTCTAGTTGGATCGTCACAAGTCAATCACAAGTCATTAACAAGTCAACTCAAGTCAATCACAAGCCAGCCATTGTAGCTTGTACCAAGACATCACAAGTCATCATAATATAATCACAAATCGTAAGTCATCACAAGTCATTGACAAGTGATTAACTATTCAATTAAAACACATCACACGTCACAAAGTTAAGGAAAATCTAGTAAAATGGAAAGTGAAGTGCCAAAAAAAATGTTTCTTGTTGTAAATCATCTGAAACATCTGACCAAACTTTTGAATTTTTATTTACTTGTGATTAGACACTGACTTGACTTGTGATTCACGTGTCAATTCATTATTCTTGACACCAACAACCCTTTGGGTGTTACTGCTTCTCAAACTCATTAATTAATCTTCATCTCATTGCGATGCCAAAGGAAGTTATGATAGAATTGATTTGATATGTCTTCAAATTTATAAATGCCGTCTTAAAAGGTTATCTGTTCATCTGTTAAAAATTGATCACAACGTTAAAAGGAAGACATTGCTTAGAAAATAGCAGTGTTCAGTAATTAAGAAAAGGTAAGGCTATGTCGTTGTGGGACAACCTAGAAAAAAGTTGTAAAGCAGCCCAGGCACCAAAAAGCACTTGTGGAGATAATCGAGTTAAAAGGTTTTGTACTACCAATTCTAAATTGAAAATCACATAAGGTTGAAACTTTGAGTGACGAAATCCGTTAATAATTAAAATAATACTGTGCATTTTTATGTCAAAATATCACTTAATTGTGAAGACATCTCAATTGTTATGCTAACGACCTTTTACCGGGAACTTTCCAAGCCTTAAACGTACGCTTAAGCGGCATGTTAAATCCCTACGACCTTTTACCGGGAACAAAATTGGCTTTACGTACCCATTTTAGGCGTAGCGCGCTTGGAACATTTTTTTTGTTAGATTATAATTACACGCTTACGACATCCTGCCGGGCACAAATAATGAAAAACCTCCTTACGACCTTTGTTTACGGTTAATTACGTCAGAAGGACGTAGCCCCTTGAGACAATATGTATATCAAATGAAAGATATTTCCAAGTTCTATCGATTTCCCCCCCAAAAAAACCAGAATTTAACGTTTTGACCCATTTTTTGCCCTTACGACGTTTGCCTGTTTCCTGTTTGCTTATATCAGGTAGTACAACCAGATTTCCGACATCAATGAGTTGTAGAAAATGCTACAATGGTAACCCATACGGGAGATGCACATATCAAGAGGACGATGACGAGTATGTCTGTTACTGCTCCAGTGGCTACACGAAAGACGCAGATGGTATATGTCAAGGTAGGTTGAACTGAAGGTCTGACTCAGAAGCCATTAATGGGTAGCCATGTAGCTGGGATCGCGCCCAAAATCAGGATGTTTTTACAACATTTATTACAATGCTGCAAACCTGAGAAATAGAGTCCCCGGAACAATGACTGAAATACTGACCTAAACAATAACCGAAACTTTGACTTCACATCTCTGGTTCTCTTCAGAAGAGTCTCACCTTTTTAGAGTTTTTACATGCATGTATTCCCACATTCTCTTCCAGTTTTCATTCGTGCAACACCTCACATCATATTTATTACGTGTGCTTTGCCCTCATTATATTTGCCCAGCATTATTGTTGTACGCCAACGCTTGAAGAAAACTCATATAAAAGTGGCTTTGATGTAAATCATTAACGGATAGTTGCTGACCTTTTTGCTTTGTACAATTTCTTTAGATATTGATGAGTGCGAAGAGAATGAAACTTGTGATTCTAATGCTAAATGCGTCAATACCATTGGTGGCTATCGGTGCGAGTGCAACGACGGATTCTATGGCAGTGGCACCTCATGCAGGGGTAATTTTCCAAATCAGTTTCTGAATTATTTGTGGTGCTAAATAACTTTGATAATATCAAAACGAGAAATGACGACACCTCTTTTCAACTACTAGGGAAAAATAGTTGAAATGGGCTTGTGTCGTCGTTTGCCGGTACCAATATCTGAAAACGACAATCAGCATTTTCAGATACACAGTCGGCATGCTATGTACGTTCAACAATTAAATTATACCAACCGCAACCTAGCTGCTTTTGCTCGGCTATAGTTTGCATCGGTGTATTTGAAAATAAACTCAATTTTCGTTTTCGCCACTCTTTTACAAATACATGTATTGGCATGCCTACAAAAAAGCAAACAACGACTAGGTATTGCATCTTGATGTAATAGGCCTATTTAATCGACGGGTATACGGGCAACCGGCCTTGGTCATTTCTGTTATCCGGCTACCAAAGTACCCGTTAACGCACAACCTTCGTGATTTGTTTCATGTTAAACTGACTTGTCTTGACCATATTATTTTCTTTTCCACAGAGTTTCCCTATGAGACGTATCCAGACCTTCCCGAACCTCAAGCGAATGAACGTAAGACTAGTCCATCCAAAAACCGTCAAAATTATGTGTTTCATGTAGATAAATGCTTCTTTATTCCCTTTATATTTTGTACAATTATATTACAATTTCTCCTTGCATAACTATTGCATGCTTTTATCTTGTTTGAGAGATTTTGAGATTTTGTTTTCGTCTTCACCAATGTTTCTTTACGGTTTATCACAAATTGCTTCATTCTGTTAGTTTTAAATAATATTCAAATATTATTATCTTCACTACCACGGTGCTCTGTTTGTTTTGAAAGAATTGTGATTATATAATACTTGTTAAGTCCTTTCGACTAATAACATTTCACGGGCGTTGTTTTTCCAGCACCTTTTGAGAAAATTATATCTATCGATGTGAGTATTGCGAGCGAATCCATGTTCGGATGTGACATGACCAACGATCCAACGTCCAGCGAATGCAAGATTCTACACACCGTATTTACTCAAAATGTACGTATGTTCTAAAATTGTGCTTTATTATGCTGCAAATTGTGTTAAGCTGAAACCAACACGTATACTTCTATTTTGCAATATTGTCGCACTGTGAACTGTAAACAAGGACGTCTTTGATTGATGTAAGAATGCATGTTTGTGTTTTCACGTAAGTTTCAAAATGCTGGATAAAGTTACAAGAGAAAGCTGACTGGTCTTTCTCATTACAAAGTCTAATCATTTGCTCTTTTTTTCATGTAAAACGACATTTATTTACATACTTTCCTGATTTACATCAAATTAAATTGGCCAAAAAAAGGAAATGTAAATATCTGAAATAATAAACGGCTTCAAATATCAAAGGAGTCAGGGTGACATATTTTTTTCCAGTAAAATGAAACGACACCGAGAAAACTTCATTAGAAAGTAATATGTGTTTTTTTTAATAACTTTCTGCGCTGTGGCTTAATTATTGATTAATGATTATTGTGTTGATTACTGTAACGTGCTCGTGTTAAGAATACCATAATAGTTTCATATTTTGTGAAACTATATAAAATGGTTACATTTTCTTTCGTGTTTCAGCTCCGTGAAAAGTACTTGGAGTTTTCCCCAGCACTGCTTAGAATTGAACTTCCGCAGAGCAATACGAGGCAAGATCGAATAATTATTTTGATTGAATTTTATGTGTAAGATTTTAGCTTTGCATGATGGAGTATCGGTATCGTTTTGGTTTGCGGTGTAGTATTAACTACTGTCGCTCAGTAGATTTAGTTCTGGTAAGAACTTGTCCTGCTTCTTATCAACTTTCGCTAAGTAGTTTTTAGTTCTGATAAGAACAGTCCTGCTTAGTTCTGAAAGAGCTTGTCTTTGGTCTCAACATTTCGACTAGCCTGGTCAATTCATCGTCAGAAGACTGATTTTAAGTGGTTTTATGTGGAAGTTTATGTGGCTAGATGATGTTCAATTTAAGATTCAAAAAGATGCCTTGATGACAAACAAAGGCCACCCAAATTAATACTTTAAAATCACTTTTGTAATGTATATCCAATTGGGAACTTTAAGGTGGAAGGATATGGAAGACGACTTCGGTAACCATTTTTATTTTGACAGGAAAGGCAATTTTGGCCACACGGTAGTGTATGACTATTCCCGTTTGTCTGCGAGTCAGAAAGCAACCTCTGCTCAAGACTTTTACGGGGAGACGATTGCTTCGAGTGTTGAAGACGGAGAACTAGGAGGTTTGAAACTTGTGAAGGACTGTACGGAGTGCGCACCGCCCAAGGGTAAGCACTATAAACTGCAAATCTCTCACTGCGGTTAGGTAAGTTAGATGGATCACAATTAGGCATCAAATGTGATCACAAGTCACCGCATTATGTTCAAAAGTCATCAATGTGATCACAAGTTTAATCACAAGGTATTCAAATGAAACGGGTCACAGGCAGTAGGCCTACCTGTTTTATTGTTCATCCGCTGTTACTTGAAACCGGACTTGTGAATTAACTTAGGCCTCCTATGTAGAACATGTGACTGGACAAAAATAGAAAATCATGTCCAAAAAAAAAAAACCCGTAGCACATGCCTGCTACCTCCCCGCCCCTCCCCTCCCACAGCCAACGCTGGATCCGCCCCACAACTTGGGGAAGCTGAAGAGTTTTTCTTCTCAAGCTGGGGCGGATTCTAAACATCGTAGCAGTTTTATGACAAATGCTGTTTTATGATAAACTTTTAAGACAAATTTGAAACTGGATACGCGATATAGCCTACTACATCTTCAGAAGACTGAACAGAAACGAACCTCGTTGATTATGGTTTATACAAGTACATACTAGACATGAACATGGCACATCTGCAAAGTACCGGAAAGGAAGTTACAAAAGACACAGTAGTTATTGTTTTTGAATAAATATTACCCACGAAATTTCTATATGTAATTGACATCATTCACTTTTGCGTTCGCCATTTAGATGATTGTATACATTTCACATGATAGTTCTGCTGAGTGTAAAAAATACATCATTTGCAATTCAGCCATCGTTGGGAGTGTATGCTTTGTTAAATATGGATACCCACCTCAGAGATAGCTGCTTAGTGTAATCGGTCTATAAACCAACTGATAATGGTGGTTAAAGGACTTGTTTTTTCTTCTCCAGATCTGACAAACTTGTGTGGTAATAATATTGCAAAACCTGAATGTGGCGACGGCTATTTCTTGAAAAAGGTGGAATCGGCAGATAAGACGAGCTGCTACTACGCATGCGATTCATTATGCACCACAGACTACTGCAGTGCCGGCACGTGCGTGCACAACCCTCCGTTCGAAGCAATTTGCAGGTACGAGCTTTTGGTAATGGCGAGGTATTTTATAGTATTTGCTGGTCACAGATGGAAGTTAGAGTTCTAATTGTGCATGACTTACTGACTGACTGACTCACTGACTTACTCACTGACTCACTCCCCCACTCACCCACCCACCCACTGACTAACTCTTCAGAACCAGACCGTACTACCGTATCGAATTACCCCATAGTGCTACATATTTCTGTAGTCATGCCGCTTGACCCTTACCCTTTTGTTGCCAATTATGTTTCGTCAACATAGAAATGTATCTTATTCGTATTGTTAAGGCGGATGTCCAGACACACATGCAAATACATTGTATTGTTTGGTGTTGTTTCGGCAGGTGCCCAGATAATACATTTGGACCCAATTGCGAACCGATCACCGTGACCACAGACAAGGATGATGGGGGCGGGGGCGGGGGCGGAGACAAGAAGGATAAATTGGATCTGCCGCTCATCCTTGGCTGCTCCATCGGTGGGGGCGTGCTTCTGATCCTCATCCTGGTCATTATTGGCTACCTCATCTACACGAAGAACAATGCTAAGGTTAAAAAATCATACGTGGAGAAGTAAGATTTTGCTACTAATTATTGTTTTATTATTTTTTTTTAGTATTAAACGACAAATTCTCAGTCTGCTCTCGTATGGGCCATTTATGCTTAACCAACTGTTATGTACCTGTTGTATGATAACATAATCACGATGATTTACTAAAGGAAGGCCTAAATGACAGTCGTATATGTTTTTAATTAATCACTGCAAAGCTTTTTTTCAGACTTTAGTTTTCTTTTAAAGGTGCTGAAGCTCATGAAACGTATGTTGAAATGTAGGTGCTAAAAGTCTACGTTAATGTATGCCATGCAATTTAGACAACTCGACATCGTGACTATAACACTTTCCGAAAACAGTCATTTCAAATCCTAAACACTGTCCGTTCACATTGAATGAGTCTGTTTATAAGAGTAAAACTATTGTTGATTGATTGGCATTTGTTATTCTTTTCCAGCGGGAAAGCCAATGAAGCATTCTCCATGGAGAAAACTCATCAGGTTGAGGAGCAGTGAAATGGAAATGATCAAGCAGACCGTCCAGGGGCTTTTCACATCGGATTCATCACAGGCCTAGCCACTCCTACTTGACATTCCATTCCAAACTAAATATTTTATAATTGCTATTTTGTAGGAGAGAATTGGGTCAAGCTGTGAACAGTGATTGAGAACCACCGTTTTTATTACGAGACTGTTTTTATTATCTATACAAGTAGTTCTTATTAGCCAGTTTGATTAGGTCTTTTCGTTATTTTCGGTCAGTTAGACAACTTGGTTGCATAAGGCTCCCATACCATCTATCTCGCATTCCATGATATATCCGGCCTAAAACGACAAAACGTTAAAACAATATTGCGTGAGGTATATCATGAATGGTGAATCATCAGCGTAAATTCATTAGACATCACGGATATCAAATAAAGTTGACTCCTTTGTGAGTCGATTGCTAGGAAAGTTTTAGGATAGTCCATTATTAACCCTAGCACCCTAAGGGCTCTTTGGTGGTCAAGTACCAAATACTACAGAATACTACAAGTGTTGTGCATTGGGAGCGGTTAGAGGTCAACCTATCGTTACTGTCCGTGGCTATGTATGGGCTGGCAACCTTCAAAATCTTCTGTGGCTTCATCTCTCAGCCGATGCCGGAAAATGTACCAAGGAAACCACATCGCCTGGCTTCAAAGTTAAGGGGTTATACTTGACGATAGCACAGCCCGGCTTACAAGTGGAAGTGATTCAGTGACTCGGAATCAGTCATTCCATCAGCAGTGTACAATGAGAAAAGTATAGGCTAGATAAAGAAATGCGAGAACCACATGTTCCGTAATACTTCTCGCAGCTTTATCTTTCGAAATATTGAGTGTTTCAAGCGTGGACAATCTGTCATTCGCGCATGGATCACCTCGTTATGAAACTAATAGTTTTTTTGCCTTAAAAATGTAGTCACATATGTTGACTTCTTGCATTATCTGACCGCTGACCTTCAGTTGCACTTTCAGATGATTGTTCGTCTTTTTTGTTGTTGATCTAATGAGTATATATTTCAGCTTTGATGTTTTTCTGTTTTGTGTACATTAGGCTATGATTTTAATTATTATTAAGTTGGTTTTATTTTGATATAGGCCTATGATTTTACATTGGTATTGTTGGGTTTTTTTGTAAGCGCTTTGTAATTTGTATTAGAAGGCGCTATAAAAGTTTTTAATTTTTTTTTGATAACTCAATATTGTCTAACAAATGTTCGACATAAGCTGACTTCCGTGTACCGAGTTAATACCGCAAACAAACGTCCTTTTCTAATTTTTCAAGGAATACAAAGGTTATCTCCTCTTTAAATTAAACATCGACCAATAAATAGGCCCAAGTTTAGTAATTGAATTGTTGCATTACCATTTGTAACTATTTGCTGCCAGACAATAATTCCATTCTCGCGGGGTAGGCTGATTCCGGCCCCACAATCAGTATCGATAATGTACGGACCGGGAGCCAGTCTGCTCGCAGAGCATATCTGTTTGTGCCCAAAATAAAAGTTTTTTGGGTTGGAATTAAATTCACATACACAATTTATCAATAGAAAAAAAATACATTTGTTAACGAGCAAGAGGAATGCTACTTTAATGCACCGAACCATTTGAAACCAGCAACGGAAACTACATGTATATACAGTAGAGACTGAAGTATCGATAGGCGGTGACGTGCCTTACAATAATTACGGTAATTTTCAACTACGATTGCAAATGGAAACATGTATTACGATTGTTTAACTAAAAAATACTAAAAAAAAAAATGCAAACATCAGCCTAAAACATACATTTTTCAAAAATGTGTTGATGTAATTTTACAAGAAGTCCAGGTCCGAATCCAGAAGGCAGCATTTGAGATGACGAATTGGTTAAGAATACATCAATAATTATTTTACATTCCGTCGAAAATATTCAAATGCAATGATACAACACTTATGCCTGTAACATATTTAGTCTATTATAATGCATACATCGCAAAAATTATTCAAAGTTCAATGTAGATCGTTAATTCTTATTTGAATAAACACATAATTTGGAATGAGAAAGTAGACCACTAGTAATAGTTGAAATATACATATTCACAAACATATATCTGGCGGAAATAATCGAAATGATTAATACATGTATTTACATTTACGCAAAACTCGATTGGCCGAAAGTCGACAGAAGCACACGCATCACCTGCCGACAAATTGATATGATTGTGTGTGTGCGAGTTTGTTTCTGCATTCCATAGGGGACGTTGAACAATAGAGGACAATAGGGTCCCCAATTCCTGAAGGTCCTCAATTTGGCGATCGTGTACAAAACATATGGGAGGTCTTCCTAAAAAGTACAAACAAACAATTAAGGGACAATAGGGGGTCCCCGATTGCAGGCAAATACACACTTGTGTGCGTGTGTGTATTTTGCTTGTGACAAACTGGTGGTCCTTTTTTAGCTCTCCCCGAATTGTTGTTCATTTTTTTCACTTTAGCCAATTTCGATTATTTCTAAGTCAAGTAGCCACTAATATCACGTGACCATAATGACGTCAATAGGAGAAACAATTTCCTATATTCCGAAACTGTTCGTTTACATTCGGAAATTATCCTTCACCCCTTCGGCAGTTTTCGGGTGAAGCATTGAATGCATCCAACACTACAGTTGTGATCATTGCTGTCGATCATGAAATGTTAGGTTTGCAATCAATTCAACCTACAGAACTCGAAGTATCAGTATTCCAAGCCTACTGCATCTAAAATAAAATATCTTGAAAGGGCGTCCTGACGTCATGTTCTATTCTTAACCGTAACTGCTACCTTATTCGCATTTCATAAAGGGAAAATTCAGTCAGGCAACCAGACTATTTACACGGACGCGCTAGCCGTGCCATCCGATACTGTGCGCAAGTTTTTGCTGACGAGCGAACGGCCGTTAGAAATGTCAGAGGGCGCCATCTTCGTCGGCCGAAACTTTTTTCTCCACATGCCCCGGATGCGGCTGTTGAAGGCAAAGGAAGTGAAGATGAAGACGCCCTGGAGTGCCCCCGAGATGATGAACAGGAACCAGAGCACACTGATGTCGGTTGCCAAGGCAATGAAACCGATGATCCAGGCGAAGCCCATGACGCTCGATATCTGGGTTATATAAGTGTGAAAAAAAGAAACCGCCAGTCAGATTTAACGAGAGAAAACTCAAACTTGTAACAACAAACAAGGAGATGGACTGTTTTTCTAGTCCAATCTGAGTGGCTATTCTTAAAAGTGTTCAGAAAATCAAACTCCCATTGTGCTTGGCATCAATGAGCAATAGGTAGGATAACGCCTAAAAGGAAGCATTTTCAAAAATAAAAATAGGTTTCAATTCCCTTGTTATACCACCAAGTATAGCTTCCCTTATTATTTCAAACACATGAAGCTAGAACCATTTTGTTGCATCTCTCAAATTATCAACATGATTGTGAATCCAAGTGATTTCGGTCTTTTGGTTACCTGTTACATACAAGCAAGCCTCACACTGTAATCGAGGTGGTTAATTGGTTTACACCTGAACGATGCTCTGTCCATGTGTATAGCCTGATGTCATACATTTTTTGGGTCGGTACATTAAAGGGAATCTTCCAATAATAATGAAGTTGAGTTTAGGCCATGGGCTTAATATAGTCCCGTCACCCCCTATGGCCCAGTATTTTCATTTACTGTAAAAACAGAACCTAACTTACCTTCACATAAATCTAATTCGACATAAGCTGACTTCCGTGTACCGAGTTAATACCGCAAACAAACGTCCTTTTCTAATTTTTCAAGGAATACAAAGGTTATCTCCTCTTTAAATTAAACATCGACCAATAAATAGGCCCAAGTTTAGTAATTGAATTGTTGCATTACCATTTGTAACTATTTGCTGCCAGACAATAATTCCATTCTCGCGGGGTAGGCTGATTCCGGCCCCACAATCAGTATCGATAATGTACGGACCGGGAGCCAGTCTGCTCGCAGAGCATATCTGTTTGTGCCCAAAATAAAAGTTTTTTGGGTTGGAATTAAATTCACATACACAATTTATCAATAGAAAAAAAATACATTTGTTAACGAGCAAGAGGAATGCTACTTTAATGCACCGAACCATTTGAAACCAGCAACGGAAACTACATGTATATACAGTAGAGACTGAAGTATCGATAGGCGGTGACGTGCCTTACAATAATTACGGTAATTTTCAACTACGATTGCAAATGGAAACATGTATTACGATTGTTTAACTAAAAAATACTAAAAAAAAAAATGCAAACATCAGCCTAAAACATACATTTTTCAAAAATGTGTTGATGTAATTTTACAAGAAGTCCAGGTCCGAATCCAGAAGGCAGCATTTGAGATGACGAATTGGTTAAGAATACATCAATAATTATTTTACATTCCGTCGAAAATATTCAAATGCAATGATACAACACTTATGCCTGTAACATATTTAGTCTATTATAATGCATACATCGCAAAAATTATTCAAAGTTCAATGTAGATCGTTAATTCTTATTTGAATAAACACATAATTTGGAATGAGAAAGTAGACCACTAGTAATAGTTGAAATATACATATTCACAAACATATATCTGGCGGAAATAATCGAAATGATTAATACATGTATTTACATTTACGCAAAACTCGATTGGCCGAAAGTCGACAGAAGCACACGCATCACCTGCCGACAAATTGATATGATTGTGTGTGTGCGAGTTTGTTTCTGCATTCCATAGGGGACGTTGAACAATAGAGGACAATAGGGTCCCCAATTCCTGAAGGTCCTCAATTTGGCGATCGTGTACAAAACATATGGGAGGTCTTCCTAAAAAGTACAAACAAACAATTAAGGGACAATAGGGGGTCCCCGATTGCAGGCAAATACACACTTGTGTGCGTGTGTGTATTTTGCTTGTGACAAACTGGTGGTCCTTTTTTAGCTCTCCCCGAATTGTTGTTCATTTTTTTCACTTTAGCCAATTTCGATTATTTCTAAGTCAAGTAGCCACTAATATCACGTGACCATAATGACGTCAATAGGAGAAACAATTTCCTATATTCCGAAACTGTTCGTTTACATTCGGAAATTATCCTTCACCCCTTCGGCAGTTTTCGGGTGAAGCATTGAATGCATCCAACACTACAGTTGTGATCATTGCTGTCGATCATGAAATGTTAGGTTTGCAATCAATTCAACCTACAGAACTCGAAGTATCAGTATTCCAAGCCTACTGCATCTAAAATAAAATATCTTGAAAGGGCGTCCTGACGTCATGTTCTATTCTTAACCGTAACTGCTACCTTATTCGCATTTCATAAAGGGAAAATTCAGTCAGGCAACCAGACTATTTACACGGACGCGCTAGCCGTGCCATCCGATACTGTGCGCAAGTTTTTGCTGACGAGCGAACGGCCGTTAGAAATGTCAGAGGGCGCCATCTTCGTCGGCCGAAACTTTTTTCTCCACATGCCCCGGATGCGGCTGTTGAAGGCAAAGGAAGTGAAGATGAAGACGCCCTGGAGTGCCCCCGAGATGATGAACAGGAACCAGAGCACACTGATGTCGGTTGCCAAGGCAATGAAACCGATGATCCAGGCGAAGCCCATGACGCTCGATATCTGGGTTATATAAGTGTGAAAAAAAGAAACCGCCAGTCAGATTTAACGAGAGAAAACTCAAACTTGTAACAACAAACAAGGAGATGGACTGTTTTTCTAGTCCAATCTGAGTGGCTATTCTTAAAAGTGTTCAGAAAATCAAACTCCCATTGTGCTTGGCATCAATGAGCAATAGGTAGGATAACGCCTAAAAGGAAGCATTTTCAAAAATAAAAATAGGTTTCAATTCCCTTGTTATACCACCAAGTATAGCTTCCCTTATTATTTCAAACACATGAAGCTAGAACCATTTTGTTGCATCTCTCAAATTATCAACATGATTGTGAATCCAAGTGATTTCGGTCTTTTGGTTACCTGTTACATACAAGCAAGCCTCACACTGTAATCGAGGTGGTTAATTGGTTTACACCTGAACGATGCTCTGTCCATGTGTATAGCCTGATGTCATACATTTTTTGGGTCGGTACATTAAAGGGAATCTTCCAATAATAATGAAGTTGAGTTTAGGCCATGGGCTTAATATAGTCCCGTCACCCCCTATGGCCCAGTATTTTCATTTACTGTAAAAACAGAACCTAACTTACCTTCACATAAATCAGCAGTTCCCGAGTGGTTTCCTTTCTCTTGTTCTTGTCTTCATTGACCATCGAGGAAGCCTTCTTGGTAGCTCGGATGGCCTTGACCGTCAATGAGAAGAAGACGGTGTTGGCGCAAAGCGACAGCACAATCGGCAGGCCAAAGGTCACCAAGATGGCGGCCTCGTCTGTGATCCAGCAGATCTTGGTCTCCGGACGGCCGTAGCTGAACGTCAGATCGGTGCAGTCGCAGAAATTCACCACGAGGCACGGGATGAGGACAATAAACGGAGAGAACCAGCCGAAGAGCGAGAGACGGAGAAAGGCACGACCGCAGGCCGAGCCGTGGGCACGGGAGACGGTGGAGGAGAAGGTGCGCATCAGGTCCCACGCCATGGCGGTCATCCAGGCAAATGCGGCCAGCCAGGCGTAGTGGGCGACAATCGCCACGGCCGAACAGACAATTGAACTCTCCGTCTGATTCACACCGACCAGTAACAGGAACTGTCCAACGAATATGGCCACCGACATGCTCATGACCGTCAGTCCGTGGATGTTTCTCAGCACTGGGAATACGCAGTAGGTCACAACAGTAGCTGCGAGGGCAACAAGTGACAGAGATACGCACACGACTTGGACAATGTATTCAGGCCCCGTGAACGGGTTCCGATACGACACAGTGGTGTGTGTGCACACAACTACGTAACCATCCGGGAAAATGGCAAACGAGCTGTTATCCAATTCCGACCCTTGATAAGTCATTACCCGTCGATCGCCAACTTCAGTCCACTTGGCTTGATCGACCGGGAAAAAATCGCAGGTCATGTTCTTCGGAACCAGCCCGCATACTTCGGCAAAGTTACGCTTTGTGTAAGTCATAGATTCCTTGTCCTCTTCATAAGCAGTCAACAGCGATAGATTGAAAGGAATGACCAGAACTCCCTCACCGATGTACAAGTACTGGGTACCGTTAATAGTTGTGGCGGTCACATTCGCTTCAGTTTGGAAACATTCGGTTATGTTGTTGGTGTTCTCAAGCACTTGACATTCTTCTTTGAGCATGACTTTCGCAGCACCGCAACGCCTCTTCCAGTTGGTGCCTTCCCCATCTTCCCTCTGTAGGATGTCACTCAAAAGGGCTCCAAATTCACCGATATGTGCAAACCCCGGGACGGATACGTGGGCAGTTTCCTCAGTGTTGTTATTGAACATCATGGCTTGCTGGTCCAAAGGAGCACCAAAAGCTGCAACTATGTCAATATTGGTGACAGCGGTCGCTTGCAGAAGACATTGCAGCGCCGAGAACGCCGTTTTTTGCGACCGGGGAGGGCTCCTCTCAACCACACCGCTAGTGGTCTTCCGTGTCTTCGTGACCACCACGAAGTTCTTCGTCTGACATTCTAATTCTTCTCCGACGCTGATTGCCAGGTATGTCCAGTATACCAATGGAGCTGGCTCTTCTAATAAAATATGGTAAGGATTGTTAAAGGTATGACAGCACCACGGCAAAGAAATTTCGAGGGACAGGACGATATCCTCCAGAGCAATTCCGTTGCAGAGTGCGCAGTGGGGATTCTTAAACGAGCGGGGGTCAGTACGGGCTGTCACCTGCGCGGAATAAGCAGCGCAGGATTCGACCAGTCCTTCATCGGGGGTAAAAGACGGGCATTCACTTATGAGTTCACCGTCGGGATGGCAGGCGTGGAGGTAGATAGAGTCAGCGGAGTTGTCGATCGAGTAATACGCAAATTCCTGAAAGATTGGAGTCACGAAGTGAGGGGGTGGGGGTTCCCAGTCCACCATCACAGGTGTTGTATCGTTGTCTCCTGGGATTGGGGTAATGGGATTAATTGGAAGTGAAGGAAAAGTAATCGTTTCTCCCTCGTACTCCCGATATGCATTGAAGCCGTGGCAAAGAGCGCAGGCGATATTCTTAAACCCAATGTAGACCTCGTTTCCCGTGTGGTACAGCATGGCCTGCGCGAAGTCTGGTGCCTCGCAGTAATCCCGCACGGCGGCGCCTGACCACGACTCCGGGCACCGGCTGATTAACTGGTAGTTGTAGTTCAAGTCGTTGATGTAGTGGCAAGCATAGTACTGAGAGCTATGGGTCAGGTTGTAAAGACTATGTTGTTGGTCGACATCGGCTGACTGGTTCAGCAGGGAAGGACACACAGACAACACATCGAAACAGCAATCTTGGAAGGCGTGGCATAGGGCATCGCATCCGCACGTGTGAAGAAGAGACGGCGGCACCCCGCAGAAGCCTTCACATGTGGCTTCATCTGGGAGGTACACTGTTACACCATTTAGCGTGAATCCTGCAAGACAAATTGGAATTTGTTTAAGTCAGAGGCCGGTTCATACTTCACATGCAAAGCAAATTTGGTGCCACTATAAACATTTAGTACAATATTGTGTGCAATTGATGCGAGTTCGCTGCCTTGAAAATACAATTCGCGTTCGCTTTTTCGCCGAGTACGAACTAGCCTCTAAAGTAAACAGTTTTATCCGTATACGTATAAAGCCTGGTTCATACTCCACGCGAATGTGAATGCAAAGCGAATTTGACGTCATGAGACGTTCGCTGCGAAATTCGCCCGAGTTGAAATGTGCTCAACTTTTACGAATTCGCAGCGCGAATACTCGACACGACGTCACAAATTCGCGTCCGCTTTCGCTTTCGCGCCGAGTATGACCGGGCTTAACTCAACAGGTTTATATTTTGCTCAGTGCAAACAGCAGACGGTACTAACACGACAATCGTACCTTTTTTGCAGGTGACAGTGAACGCTTTCCCTCCATTTCTCGCACAGTGATCTTCCACGACCATCCAGTGCCCTTTGTCCTGGCTATCGACTCGGAGCACAAACTCAATCCCTCCGTTCCAGGTACGGGCTGGATCGAGGCTGGTGGACTCGACCAAAGAGGAGCCATAGCGAAGGCAAGCTTCTTTAGCTGCGGCCTGGGTCTGTGCCGCGTCGTGAAAACAGGCAAGGCCCCAGTCGGATCCGTTGTGGCGCAACTGTAAGATTCCACTCAGTTGTGAATCGTCATCTCCTAGTCGGACCTCGATTCCTTCAGGGAAGACCTCTTGGGACTCCGGTAGAGTTAAGACCTCGTCATCTACAAGAAAAGGTCAATCAAGATCTTTGATTAATGTTACCGGGACACCGGCATACAGAGGTTGGTTGAATCGCTGGTTATCAATAGCCGCCCGTATCATAGTGCACAGCCAGGAGCCAGGATAGGAGTGCGTGTGGTTTTGTAATGGCGTTGTATGTAAGTTGCTATCGAGGCGCAATCGTATACATTGGTCAATGGTCGATCATCATGCTTTAAAAAGCACGTTTATGGAATAGACTTACCTGTCGCACACTTCACACCAAATAGTGCAAACTGGCCTGAACCATATCCGCAGATGCTTTTACAGATGGACCTACTCAGGCATTCCGTTATCGTCTCATCCGCCTGGCAGCTCTTCTTCCTCCGTAAACGCTCCGGGAAGTCACCGTTCCACGGAAGGTCGACGCCGTCTGACACGGCAAGCGCCAAGGGAAAGCCGAAGTGTTGGCATACCAGGTCGGCGTCATGGATGGAGTGCGGTAGGTTCTCGCCTAAGCCAACCCACCGGTCGCCTCCTAGTCCGATCTCCAGCCAGCCTTCCCGGTCGCTGCTGCCGTTGAAAAGACGGAGGTCCGCTTTGGAAAGAAGATCGAAATAGTCGGTAAAATAGAACATAAGAGAAATGCACATAAATGTAGTGTCTATCCCGATTCATTACAAGTCATTTAGTCGTGCGGTAACCATTAATTCTTCTACCCTCTCAATGCCGAACTACACAATTCACAACTTACTTGTCAGACAGGTCATGCTCAAGTCCGTTCGGTGATCGCAGCTGCCCCCTCCCAGAGTCCACGGCTCGAATTTGCATGGAGCCTGTGCACAGTCACAGTAACCGTCCTTGTACCAGATCACCCCGTCGGCCTTACCGTACACGTCCTGGTGATTAGAGGCCGTGTAGGAGCCCAAATAACCCATGAGCCTGCAAAGGCCGCACGCTAGCTCGTTGACACGAAAGGCGTTGTCGTCGGCTGAACTGGACAAGTTCCCCCGGCAAAAGGAGCCCCATTCCCCACTTGGACCTTGCACCTCCAGTCGACCTTCGTGGCTAAACGGGCCACCGACTAATCTGCTCTCCAGGTCTAAAATTACACAGGATAGAAAATAGATAATACATTATCAGGATACCATGACCAACTGAAAGGATGTTCGGTATTTCAGCAGGTTAAAAAGGCCAAAAATATAAACATAAAATGACTCCTTCATTGAAATTAACTACAGGTTTCCCGACCAATTTCTTAATTTTTCTGATCATTTTCATTATTAGCCATTCAATTTTGCGTGAATTTAAACGTCTAATCAAATTGGGTTTTCCTTTTCATCGTTGTGGCTTTCAATTTTATTTTTAGGTACCCGAGATTTTGTTCCTGACGTTAGTTTTCGTTTTGCGTCATTCTCTTTCGTTTTGAGGCATTCAATACTTAATTTGTAGCATTCTGAAATAACGTTTTTGACATCTTTTGACGGTTGACGCATTGACGCAATTAGCGAACGTCTGACGCGTATGAATTTTAAATTATAAGAGTAGAAGAAATTCTAAACTTCACGTCAGTGAAAGAAAAATCGCCGTTATTGATGCAGTAATGTCAATACTGGTCACTGGTCAAGCTGAGTTAAAAGTCGTGAGAAATCGTCAGAAAAGGTCCCCAAATCTATTTACTTCTCAATTTCTAAGATTCCTTAAAAAAATACGAGTAGTTGAACACTTCCATCATCTAAGAAAATCTGAATTTTAGCTCCATCTGTTGTTGCAAACGCTTGTGTTACACTTTGTACTATCACCAAGGTAAATTTCAAATTACGTTTCTCACTGCCGAGCAATCAACACATGGTCTATACCACGGCCGAATTTGGTCGCAACAGTGACTGGCGTGTTATTAGCATACTCAATAGCGTGACTCGGCTGGATTGCGTGAGTCTCGGTATCGACCAATGGAAGCCCACAAAATAGGTTGACAATTATCAATTATTAACTCGTGAAAGTGGGGGTCGTGAAATTTTTACTGCAGACCATATATGGATAGAAACCTTATTAATATTCGTGAGGCTTTAAAACATTGACAGATATTGCAAACACCATTTGTTACAGCTTTGAAAAATGGACGTACCCAAGCCCTTTTCCCCTATTTTCATGAAAATACTGAACATAGTTGGATCATTATAAGGGAAACAAACTCCGAAAGTGGCATGGAGAAACGCAACGGGAGAAACTGATGTTCAAATATTTTACAAAATGTCCATTTATTGTTTCATTTAAAAGAAAGCTTTTCGTAAACCTTATAAATCGGTCTTCGCAACGGTAAGGCTGATAGTGTGCAATACTTTTCTTTATGCCAGAGTTTATAGCTGTGATGAGGTGAATTTAATGGTTTTCAAAACAACTGAACAATACCATTTACCCCTTCTCAGCTTTGCCATATATGACATTGAGTAACTCTTCCTTTCTTTCGTTTAAAAAAATATCCACACTAAGTACACTAGTCTATATAAAAGGTTGTGCGGTTTTAATTCTCCGTAAGACCCGCTGCATAATTTCCGCTAGCATGTTTTGCGAAATTGAGGAAAATAATGAGAAAGCCAGCATTACGGTTATTCTGAAGCCTTAGCTAATGGATGTGGTTAATCTCCATTAGGAACGACACTCGACGCTCAAACTACGAGACTATAGGCAGCTGTATTGAATAATTTATAGGATTGGTCATGAAGTTCTTCGCTAGACATTCATCACAATTTCCGCAAACCTTTTCTATGAAATTAGGGTTACCGTAAAAGCCAATGATTGGGTCAGACCAATAATGGGTGTGGTCAATGGATGAGGTCAATTACAATCATAACGGCAATCTTTTCAGATTAAGAAACTTGGGAGCAAATGTTTGCGTCCATTAGTTTATAAATTTGTTTTTTATTCATAGAAAATATTTTGGGGGAAATACATCCCTTCACTGGATTACCGCTGTGCTGAAATTTTATGTTAGTTTCTCAGCCACACCCAACCTGGACTGATCAGTGTCCTCAAGAGGCAACCCAGAGACAGGCTTGCTTAATTAATTGACGTCCATGCATGGGCGTTGCTATGATTTTTTTTAAAGAGGGGGGCAAAGCTCACACCAGAAAGCAGCGAAGGGAGAAATCATCGGCTTTGCAAAAAAAATCGAAAGGGGATGGGCAGCTGAACTTCCTTCGACGCTTTGTTCAAGACCGCGATACCTAGGCCTATTGTTTATAGCATTATAGGCCCCTTTCAGCCGAGGACATTTGCCCACCCCTCCCCATGTGTATTAAATTAACAGCAACATGACTTCGCACCTCCTCTTCTTATTTTCTTTTCCCCCTTTTTCCTCTTCCTCCCCTCCTCTTTTTTCCAGGGGAGCACCCCCTTGTGCCCTATACCCCTACCACCGCTAGCGACACCCATGCGTCCATCGTCTACATGAGGTCAATTAGGCTTAATGCAATCCCAAAGTGAATCAGGCAAGAATTCTATTGACAGTTTCATGGTATATTTCCGTAGCTGGCACTTAACGACTCCATTATCGGCGGTTTCCACCTGTCACTTGGAATTCAATTTACAATTTTAAAAGTGGTTTTGATGCGGCTTCTTTTCATATTACTCCCATTTTCATCATTAAGACTTCCTTCCTTACTTCATTTCGTGATCGGTTATTGTAAGCTTGGAACTCTCTGAGAAAATATGGCTCACCACGCGCATTGTCCAAAGATGGTATTACTACCGTAATTTCCTTAGCTATACGCGTGTGGAGAGAGCACCAGACGCGAAGTGCGCTGTTCACCATTAAACCAGTTTGGGAAAGGCGTATAATGGTCCAACGTTCCACAAAAATTACCACTCGTAGTTTTGAAATAAAACTTGTCAGATATTTATACATTGAGCTTACTAGTTGTATGATATGTTTTCGAAGCTGAACGTAACTTCATATTCATCGATACAAAATAAATCTTGTCAGATATTTATTCATTGAGTTTACGAATTGTATGATATGGTTCTGTAGGTGGAGTGAACACTCGGTTCGAAAAGTCGAGTTTCTGGGTCTTCCCAGAACGAAAAACAACTAACAAAAGCCAAACGTGCATTGTAACTATCGCAGAGTACCTGGACTCATTTGAGTCTTTGAAGAGCTGAAATAATCGTCGAAAGGCCGGACTTTTAGAATACAACGGAGATCTTGAGGTGCCATCCAATATGTTGAGATCCTGAGATAATTTATCACGGCATGACGAACATCCGAGTTAATTTATCATGGAATGACGACATCGTGTCGACATTCTGAGATCATTTATCAAAGGATGACGACATCCCGATAGTAGAGTGTCGACTATACCTGAGACAATTTATCACGGGATGACGACATGATCCTGAAAGTAAGATTGCTTCCTCACCATCTACTTAATCTTAACTGCATTTGAAATTATCTCCGGATGTCGACATTTAGGAAGTCATCATCCTGTGATTAATTTTCTCAGGATGTTAACATCCTAGTTTGAAGATGCGGTCATCTCTTGATAAAATTACCTTTGACATTTTAAGAGTAAGCTGTTGTCCCAGCATCTTGGATGGCAGGACCTTAACAACTTGGTTGGCACCTCTAGAACTCCGTAGATATCATTTAAGTCAAGACAGTTTACAACAATAAGGCCTACTCAAAATCCCCTAAGAAAATAGACAAGATCCTACAGAACAGCTACAGGGAGAGAGACACGAATTTTTCAACGGTAAGGGGTGACAGACCAAAGGCTGTGACGAAACATTATTTTGTGCTAAATTTAAGTCCAAGTATTATTACAAAATCTACCAACTTACCGCTTCCAAAGCCACCAGTTGTAAAGGTCACGAGTATCAGAAGGTATACATTCAACATGTTGACAATCAAGTTAACGTAGGAAAAATGCGAAAAGAACTACACAATTCCCCTCTCCGTATTAAAACTCAACACCGCTGACATCGAGCTTTGTAGCCAAAGTATGAACTACAGACACAATGCACACTTATATCTCGCATGCACAGCTCTGGTATAGTATTGCTGGTACACAAGCTATTCCAACGTATGACAGCTAGTCCGGCACTTCAAGTAGAATTTATAGCGTCAACGGGTGACCCTGGATTGTTCATTAATTTTTGAGTTGTCCATGCGCAATAGTGGTCAATCAGCGAGCAGAACGTTTAGGACACTTTAATTTCACTAATTTATCACCGATATCATATCGGACATGTGTCAGTGTAACTGCCAAGGCCAGTTGTCATCACTTCGCGAGTGCTCTAAAGAATTAATTAGCAGAGAAGTCAAATATTTCCTGGGAAGCTTACCCTTAGATCATTTGTCCTTCCACGACCATCACTCGCGTTTAAAATTGCCTGCAGCGGCGTCCTCCTTTTAAAAGAATAACATCCTCGGAATGAGCAGGAGATATAAGCATTCACAACAGCTGGCGCGATTTTTAGTGAGCTGTTGAATGCAGAAATGTGCTGAGCGTTTGCGAAGAAAAAAAGGTTCGCAGACTAAAAGGGATGCAGTTGGCTTATTATTGCGGCTTAGCATGAATATCTTCCGAGCAGTATTGTCTGCTTATATGGTTCGGTGGAACTCGGGCCGTAAGGTCGGAGCCTATGGCGATGTTAACAACGGGAATTTGTATATGCGCATACGTCATAGTAGAAACAGGATACCAACTGACATGCAGGGTGTACTACACTTGTGACTGGTTCACAGCTATAACTTTTTTCCAAGCAATATTTCTACGTAGAAACCCAATAAAATCAGGTCCTGCTGGATGACAGGGATCGACACTTTATTACAAAGTAATCAGTTTCAACTGTGCAACTTAAGAATGTAAATTTATACTGACGGCAGGTACGGCATGAACCTTTAGAAATGTTAATTGAAAAAAGAATAGCCTCAAAGACAAAATGAAATCTCTAAACTAAGTTCTTTGAAAATAATGTTGATTCGCTTTGTTTTCTTAACCGATGAATAACTGATAGGCCTATAAGCAGTTCGACCCAATTTTCATTTCCATTGTATACAGGTATTCTTGCGTGAAGCTCTTGTTGAAGTGGTTACTTTTTTTCTAGAAATCGATAAAATCGTTTCCAGATGAAAATCATGATATATAAAGCATGACTGACACTGTTCTGATATTTTATCGGCGATGCTATGGTAAAAGTACTGGTAGATTTCCTTTATATTGCGAACCGTTCTCGCATTTTTTATCTGTTTTAAAATGCCTATATTTGTAAGCTGTAGTTCTTCCATAAAACTACCAGCCGAAATATAAAAGTATTGGTTTGTCGCATTTAATCTTCGACATCATTTCAAGGTAGACAATACAGGATTTATTCACATGGTGCTACCGCGAACTTATCTTGTCTTAACTTTACTTAAGATGTATCATTTTCATCTGAGTATGAGTTTTACATGTTGATAGAGATTTCACCAGTGAATAACTTAGAAAGATAATTATTTTGTTCTGATAAATAAGACCACTTAAATGTGCCGATTTCAGAGCCTTTTAAAGTCCAGCACTGATAAAATGTATAGTATCAGATCATATACTCTGTTCACATTTTCCTTTTAGCGTCTTATTCAATCAACTTTCAATTTGATGTTCCTTGATGTGTTAAACCCACACTTTCATTACTTTTTCTGATTTAATCGGTGAAAATGCAAAGATCGTGATCCCAATTATATGTCTTAGCAGAATTACTGTATTATTGATATTTTACGTCTCAACTTTGTTTCATTTTATTTTTGGTATCCCCGAAAAGAAGATTTTTTGTTCAATTAAATATCATTAACGTTTACGTGGCGGTTTCGTAGTATAGCGTTGGCTTTCGACATAATTTTATTTTTGTACACAAAAAAAGAGCGATGTTTGAAAACGAAAATGTTTTCTGTGCAATCTTGACAGCGTCCAACTGAACCTCCTTGAAAATAATTAACTCCGTGGGGACGAAAGCACCAAAGCCCCACTCCCTAATTTAGTTATTTTGAGAAAAAAATTGCAACTCCTAGGACCCTGAAGAACGGCAGGAAACGTGCGGAGGCGAAATTAATGTCATGCGTGAGCGCGCGTTAGCTCGTGTTTCTTTGTAATGCAAGATTCGCAATACATCAATTAATTAATGTCCTCCGTATGACCCGGCGGCCTTGCACGCAACTGTTGAGGACTTATTAAGGTCAATTTCAACTACCCGCACTTTCTGGTGGTAATTATTATTCTCTGACAATCGACCTACTTCAGGGAATTGAAAAACAGAATAACTGAAATGTTCATTCCAAAATGACAGTTTCGTGCTGTTGAATTTGGACTGACCATAATTGTGATGGAGCCAGCTCAGAATGAAGTTCTGTCTGGGAACCTGACGCGATCTGCATATGTCCTCAATTTAAGTTCTGGGTTTTTCTTCCTTTGAGCGGGGAGAAATTAAATTAGTTTGATGCAAAGCCATTTTTTTTACAAATTGAAATTGGGTGCGTGTATGGGAATGGGTGGACAAGCATTACATTCACTGTGTGGACTTCCGAACAAAAGATGTCCACATAAACCAGGTAGCAGCGACGTTGTGTGGACTTGCCCACGTCCACACAAGGTTTCCTTTCTCTGGAAAACAGGTTAGAGGTATTTTGGGTTAGGTTTATCCGTCGGAAAAATGAAGAGAAACATTCAAACATGTGTTAGTGTGTGGGGGGGGGGCAGGTGGGGGAGGTGGGAAAGGTGCAGGAAGTGTAACGGGGGAGATGGGAGGGGGAGTCGCAGATTGCCGACACACCGCACAACGGGCAGTGGTAACCATTATGTTTCACGCATTACTCTATTTACAGATTTGAAAAGGGGGTCATATCCGACATCAAGGGGCGCTCTGCACGGCGATTGGCGCTGGACATCGTCTGGCATTAGGTGGCGTTGTCCATGGCTTCCTTTTTGCAGACAGTTGCACGGTTTGAGATGAGGCGTGAATAAGCGCGAATGGGTGCTGCCAAACTACAGCGTAAGACAACCAGATTGATTGTTATCACCAGTGGTGTGTTTCGACTGACCTGGCTCCCTTAGGCTTTCGTACTTTTTATTGTTGCTGATAAATCTTATGCGTCTTTGTATAAACATTTTGAGGAACATTGGGGAGCTTTCGGTCATTCTCCTGACTCGCGGTGTGGTTAACCTGCTGAAACAAAATGTAGGGCCTTTAACTGTCACCATCAGCGCTATAGGAAACTCTTTATGCTGTATATTTGTTCTTTGTTATTTTCCAGGCATACGACAGTAGCAGGTGAAAATTGAAGTTTTAATATCTGCAGGCTTTGTATGAGTGACTTCCTCGCTTCAGATAATTCTCAAAGATTCATTATTGGTCGTGTTTTCCACTATATTTGATATCTAGGCCACGCGTAATTTGCTGGTAGGATTTCTGTAGTGAACACAACCTGTAGCTAGGAGGTGTTCTTATTGCGGCTTTTCAGAGATGGCATTGTACCGTACAGATATCACCTGAATTTCAACTGCGTTGAAGGTTATTAAATTTCGAGGCATTCAATGTTATTAGGATTCAATATTGCCAACAGGAAAGAGCGCGTCAATTCCGTGCGATATTGCGCCGTGTTGTATCGATCTCTGGATGTTTTCCGCTGCAGTGATCGTTATATCTTTGTGAGCACTCTTTTTAGATCACAATACGGTATTAGCGATAGTGATTGGCAACAACTCACGCGCATCCAAAAAGGCCCCTCCCACAGAGTGACTTCCAGCCAATCGAAAAAGTCTGCATCTTCGCCGTGAAGTCTTCACCAATTTCTGATTGGCTGGCGATGACGTCAGCCTGGTCAGCCTGGTCAGCCTGTCTGCGTAGCTAAAGGCGGGCTGATTGTGATTAGTGTAGGCTCTACTCGGTGATAAACGATCCACTAAGCGGATTCTCAGTCATTGCATGTCGTTGGATGGACAGTGCAGCAGCTTCGGTTCTGATGGTATCAGCAATGACAGGTAGGCTTGAGATTTCAAAGATTTTTTTAATAATAAAGTGAAATATACGACCTTAGAGGGATATAGACTATTTCGCACTGCCAGAAACATCCCCTATGGTGTTTGCATTTTTGTTTCGGAACAGTCTTTCTACAACGTACGTGTGCATGAGCAATACTGAAGTTAACAGGAAACTTTTATTCGGAGGTTTTCTACTCGGATCATTCCATAGCATCTCAGAAAAAAAGTATCTCTCTGCTTGACTGTAGTTGGACAAGTTTTAAGAAATGAAAACTGCATCTTGCCATCGCTGGGATGGCGCCCGTGGCTTATATCTAAGAAGCTCTTTGATGACATCTAGACTTGAATTCACGATCAGAGGTTGGCAAACCATGTTCTCAAAGAACATTGAACCTTCAATGCTTCTTGTATGTTTGGCTATTTGCCTCTCATCTACCTGTCCTGCCGGTTGGGTTGGTTTTGAGCAATCTTGTTACAAGTTTTTCAAAGAACCGCAGCTAAATTATGATGAGGCCCTCAGGAAATGCGAATGCTTGGGAGGTTTCTTAGCCACCCCGAACTCGGAAGAGGAGAACACATTTATGGCAGATTTGTTTAACAGGGAAACACCGGTCGTCAACATGTGGTTAGGCTGTAAACGAAAGCAAGAAACAAGGAATGCCTCAGAAACACATGTGTGTTTTGGGGATGATCCAAATGACCAATCACCATATCGAAACCTGAAGCTATTACAAGGAGAACAGGAACTTCCTGACTGTATAATGTTAGGCGCAACAGGGCTGCCAATCTCTGGAGGCCCACAGGGTGCAACGCCCAGAAACACACAATGTGTGAGAGAGCAGACAATCGGATCGCCACACACCCATGTATCAAACCTTTCTACGCCAGATGCTCTGCTGTCTTTACTGACGACACTGGCCAACCTGAGGAATACTGCCTGATTGACAACGCCTACCAGACCACTCCCATGAGTCCCGTACGATGCTGCTTAGCGTGCAGCAAAGATCCATCATGCCGCTCTTTCAATGTGCTATCAGGTAACCTTTGCCAGCTCAATAGTCTGACGGTCACTGAGGCTGAGAAACAGGGTTCCATCAAAGAGATGGAGAACTGTGTTGTCTATGAGAAAGATTAGACAGTGAGCGAGCTGTGCAAGATATTTCAGTTGAACCGGTCCATCAACTTTTGGTTAATCCCAAGAAATATATTAAAGTCCAGTACTGAGAGAGGTAGCGATATAGTCTGTCAAAGGTGTTCTAGTGTAAACCTTTTAGATAAACAAAGTCTTATGAAGTTAACAAAGCGAGTTTTACAAGAAAGTAACAAAAACGTGTCGTTAGGGGGTGCTGTGCGTTGCAATGGGTGAAACACGTCATATTCAAGAGAAATCCAGAGTTTCTAATCCAGAATATCTAACCATATCCAGAACGGAAAGGTGAAGTTGACACAATAAGCCTGGACAATTTTCCCTGAGTTAAGTATCGATAGTGGCATAATATACTGAATCGGGGGTGCCTGCCGACCGGAGATATAGGTAACTGAACATAGCCAGGTAGATTTGAGGAAGCCCACAGAAGGACGTCTTTGAGAAAGTCTACCAAAAATCAGTGGAGCCGGCCGGAGCAGAAGTAGCCGACCGGAGAAAGGCAGCAGAAAATAGCCGGGTGGATTTGAGGAAGCCGACCGGATAAGGTAGCATTTGAGAAAGCCGACCGAAAATTAGTGGAACCCGCCGGAGCAGAAGTAGCCGACCGGAGAAAGGCAGCAGAAAATAGCCAGGTGGATTTGACGAAGCCGACCGGATAAGGTGGCATTTGAGAATGCCGACCGAAAATCGGTGGAGCCGGCCGGAGCAGAAGTAGCCGACCGTAGAAAGCCAGCAGAAAATAGCCAGGTGGATTTGACGAAGCCGACCGGATAAGGTGGCATTTGAGAATGCCGACCGAAAATCGGTGGAGCCGGCCGGAGCAGAAGTAGCCGACCGGAGAAAGTCAGCAGAAAATAGCCAGGTGGATTTGAAGAAGCCGACCGGATAAGGTAGCATTTGAGAAAGCCGACCAAAAATCAGTGGGGCCGGCCGGAGCAGAGGTAGCCGACCGGAGAAAGGCAGCAGAAAATAGCCGGGTGGATATGAGGAACCCCACAAGAGGAAGTTTTTGAGAGAGTCGACCGAAAATCGGTGAAGCCCACCGGAGCAGAAGTAGCCGACCGGAGAAAGGCAGCTGGAAATAACCAAGTAGAATTGTGGGAGCCAACTGGATATGCCGAGCTTAAAAATAGCCGACCAGAATTGAAATAGTCGACCAGATCTGATGAAGCCGACCGGAGATCCCAGCCTGAATAAAACCGGCCAGATTTGGAAAAGCCAACCACGCCGACTGGCCAAGCCGGAAGGAAAGGAGGAGATGTAGATCGCTCTTGGTTGAAACTCCAAACCGAACATTCACCTAAGGGACAGGATAGAGGCCCTCCGAGGCCCCCTCGGAGGTTCAGGGCCAGTGGCTAACTAGTCTAACGAGAATGCAGTTGATCCGCGACGGGTTCTAATCGATTATAACTGCCTACGGGTTGTTCTCTCCTTTTCTTTTTCGTTCTTTCTAGAAAGATGAATCGAGACAGGAGTCGCTCCCCCGTAGCAGCCCACATATGCGGAGACTGCCACAAAGAATTTGCAACCTCTGCCATATTACGTCGGCATGTAGATGAGCAACACCTGCGCAAAGAAAAGTTGCGATGTCCTTACTGTAGCTGTGAATTCAAGAGAAAGAATGACCTCGACAGGCACTGGGAGGCAAAGCATAAGATGCCGGCAGCTAAGAAAGACCCACCCAGAACGCCGGAACGTGCCGTTGATGTCCTTACCTTGCACCCTGACCAGCATGAACAAGATGTGGTGTGGAGGAGTTCCTCCCCGCCTCCCGTTAGAAGGGTCATCGCTACCACGGCTATCACCCCGTCGTCAGTAGCTCAGTACACTCTGCAGCTGGCGAAGCACCATAACGAAAAGGCTGTGCAGACGGACCTGCCAACGGCGGGAAGGCTGGTGGAAAAAGTGACTCAGGAACTCCTCGACGGGAAGGACATTGTCGCAAGGATCGTCAAGGAGCGCTTCTTCGCAGAGTGATTGACTGTTCATTTTGTTGCAATTTACGTTTTTCCAAAGTTTTGAAATTGTACGCAAGTGATGTGACATATCTGTTTTACGGTTGGGTGTCTGTTGCTTTTAGATCAGCCTGAACTGTTTTTGATGCTTGAAACTGACATGAACTGTGTAACTTGGAGTAAACGATTGTTCACAATTGTTCAGTTTGTTACGGATAAAGATTTCATGATAAGAATCTGATACCATTCTTCCTTAAAGGAAGGGTGAAGTAACAAACATGTGTCGCTAGGAGGCGCTGCACGAACAGGAAACCTTGCGTGGCCTTACTTAATTTGTTTAGGTTAGATGTACGTATCTATATAGGCCACACATGATTTGCTGATTGGGTTTCTGTAGTGAACACAACATAGCTAGAAGGCATGCGGCAGTGTAGATATCGCAATTTGTAACGTATATCAACAGAATTGCAACTGCGTCAAGGGTTATTGTGTTGTGAGGCATTCAATATATAGAAGGTCCAAATATTGCGAATGTTACAGTGTCTCGCTTCATTCCAAGGACATAAAGTAACGGAGCATTATCAATTTTTTTTATCTGAAGACCATTTTGGAAAACTCAATGCTTCACCACACTGTACAAAAGTTGGGCAAAATGGGTTGATAATTCGACCAAACTGGTCGAATTATCAACTGCCTACACTCTTGGGCAAATTCTTCCCAATAGTTTGACAGTTTTTACCCAATTCAATCCAATATGAGGTAATTTCATACCAATGTCGGGTAAATTACATTGCCCAACAGTATTTTACCCAACGTGATTACAGTGCATGTTTCTCTCACTCCCAACTAGACCACGCTTCATTGTGACTTGTGAGCTTTTTATGTTTTGGGGGTTTTTTTTGAGGGGGGGGGGGAGCTTGCCTCGTCAAGGCAATATTGCGCCGTGTTGTGTCGATTACTTGATGGTTATAACACTGCAGTTAAAGGATATATATTTGTGAACACTCACTTTAGATAACAATAATATGTAGGTATCTACAATACCGGTACACTTTAAAAACAGTATTTAGATTTTAAACACATTTCTAAACACTTAATTGTACCCACTTTTTCACATGTTTGAATCCACGACATGTTTAGATTGATGGATGTCTGTGACATAGTTTAGGCATCGTTCGAAAGCCCATCAGTACCATCAAGTGTAAATTGTAAAAGTAAATACACATAACTTATCGGGTTGGAGTCAAAATTAATGACAGGCTAAATGCACCTTTTATCACACTTTCATTATCAACTGTCTACCTAAAACGAGTAATAAAAAAATACATAAAAAAATACAAAATACATACTTTTTTTTTTAATACTAGTTATTATTAATGACACTATTAGACTGTCATGCTTTGCAAAATACACATGTCTCCGACTAAACATGTGGAAACAAGGGCGAGTGCATATATGCTCTGGCCGTGTTGACGCCAAAAAAAATGGGACGTGATGGCACATATGGAACACCATACTTTTTGTAAATTTTAGGGACCGACAGACATGGGCGTCGCGGGGGCGAGGGGGAACGGGGTGCTTGCCCTCTGGAAAAGCGTCCCCCCCCCCCCCCCCCCCCCCCCCCCACCCTCGAAAAAAATGATACATTGAGAATATGCTGGAGAAAGTACAAGGATTTTGAGAGCTTTGCCCCCTTTAGAAAAAAAACCTGGCGACGCCCAGGCAAACAGACAGACCATCCGACTAAGTGACATGTAGAAGCTCCTGTCAGACTTTAAAAAATACACCGATCGAAAGGTGGGTGTGCGAGGTTTTTTATAGTAAAGGTCGCATTCGAAACATAACTATTCCATTACAATGGCTTATTTTATTCATAGGTGTCTAGAGCCATCATTTCTCCATCCTCAACCTCCCGCTTCATTTATATGTGAACACACACCATCTAATGTGAACACACACCCTCCGGATCGGCGAACCTAATACGTTTTTGTCGTGGTGGTATTTATGTACTGAATATCTCATCACAACTACAATCACAGTTGCCTATTTTGTACACGCCTATTCTGTTTAATCCTATGAAAGCAAAACGTGATAGTAAAATTATTTGTTGACTTAAAATATCCATTAGAAAATATTGTTTACATTAAACAAAACTTAGCAAAAACAATAACCCGAATAACGAAAATGCTTTCAATTTCGCTGATCTTGCACTCATTTTGGTATTTCCGTAGCTTTGCACACCTCATACTGCGCGCGACATTTGACCCTGATATAACTCCGCCCCTTTTTTCACACGACGTTTGTACGACATTGAACTCGTATTCTGAGACTATACTTGACTGCACTATGTGATGCATGCACAGTCAGTTGCCGTGTCACGCGTATAGCTGCTATATTTTCCCGTCCACACAGCAACGCGAGGCCAGCGAGCGATGGCCGTAAAAAGGGCTTCAGAAAATTCGCAATTTTCATGGCAGACCACAACCGATTCAAACAAACAAAGTTGTTTTAGGTAGTTAAAAGACCTTTTTCATACATCCATCAAGGTATTTTTTTTCAAAAAAAGGATTTCGATGCATTTTGACGATATTATTTCACAGACAAATCGACTAAAAATTAGGTCATGAAAGAGTGAACCTTCATCTACAAAAAATCTCGTGAACGTGATGTCGTTAATAATATGTTGAGAATTCAAAGGCATATATATTGGCGTAGCCGGGGGGGGGGGGGGGGGGTAAGGGGGTATTTACTCCCCCCCCCCCCCCAATATTTTGTAAAGACTGCCTTTTTGCATTCAAATGCCCTTTTTTCAACGGGCTTATACCCCCCAATAATTTGTAAGGAGTGCCCTTTTTTTTACGAAGTGCCCTTTTTCTGAACAAGTGCCCTTTTAAGAAAAATAAGTGGTGCCCTTTTTTGTTCACGTCATGAATTTTCGTAAACAATTTCAGCGGTTTCAACTTTATGAGAATGCACCACTGACAATGCAAAAAGGCTGCACTGAGGATCCCCGCATTTTCTAAAGGTTGAATGCTCTCCTGGATTCTATCTGTGACGATCCATCATCTCGTCGAACTACCAACCAATTCTACTTAAAATAAGTACTGGACATATCCACCTGACAAAAATACAACCAAAATATTGTAAGGGTGGTGGAAATGGACATAGAAAAATGTGATTGTTAATGTTTAATACTTTGTAAACGTCCTGATTATAGGTTTTCAATGGCATTGTAGCACCATTAAATACAATCGCGACCAGAAAATTAAATTTAGTTAACAGTTAAGGACTCGGGTGAACTGAAAACTCCTTGCAAATCGGAGTAGACCTGTTTAAAAAAGTTTGCATTGTAAAACCACCGTGTAACAGCTTATTAACACAATTATCATATAGAACACTAGCATTCCTCATACACGTATATGGAAACCAGACTGGAATTAAAAGAAACACTTGCTATATTGGTATTAAAGTAATTGCATAGCAGATGATTATGCACCGATACTGCAGTTCGTTCCGCTCCATCCATTGTAGCACTGACACCGACATGCTGAAGACTTCTTAGCACCAAATTTGGAGATCCTGCCTGGAGTAACACCAGAGGGCGCCCCTGAGATGCATTCAAGAATCTTCCCCACACACCTGCCGTTTCCGCTGCAAAGAGAGGCAGAACACCGCGCTGCTGCTTGGGTAGTTTTCAGAACCAACGGGCCAAGGGCTAATTTGACGTCTTTTTGAAGACCCAGGCAGGCTGCTCGGTTGCTGGTGTCATTGTTGTCGCCCCAGAAGACCACACCTGCCAGGCCTTGCTCAGCAGGCAGCAGGATTGAGTTGTTCATATCCTCCTAGAAGACGGAGTGTAATTCTGATTTAATGTTTGTATTTATTGCTGTTACTTTCAAGGCGTTAGTGAAAACATGCACACAGGTGTCTTCGAGAAAATACAGATGCGGTGTACAAAACATCTAGTGTTTATTATCACTCATACTTGAAGATGTAATAACTTGTTTTTAAAAACACACTTACCAAGTTTAGAAAGAGACCGGTGTGTGAGTAGTTGAGGGCGACATAACTGTACATCGGCTTGTTGGGGTCTTTGGAGTTCTGTCTGACTCTTACAGCTTCTTGAAGGATGGTGTCGATGTAGACAGCAGTGTCTGTCCGAGTGTCCTCCTCCTTCATGTAAATAGATGAGTAGAGGGATGGTGAGGCATCAGTCAGCCAAGACATTTGATCGTTAGAGAGCACTGACGTCTGATTGCAGTAACGAGCGTCTGCGTGGTTGTTGCAGTACGGGAAGTGATAGAAGCCAAACAGTGCCTTCGGTCGTAGCTGATGGGCTAGTAGCACCGTGCCTTCGTACAGGGACCTTGCCGCCTCCTCGAACTCTGTCTTGGCCGTTGCCTCGACGGTCCCCTGGTCCCACGTCGGGTGACGACGGCGCACCAGCGCCATCGACTCGGCATTGTAGAGCTCGGACCCGGGGACGCCAATGTTCTTGTTCCACACGGGGCTCCAGAACTCCCAGTCGATGACGGCCAGGCCGGAGTAGTTTGCGTCCGGGATGGCCGTCCGGATATCAACTGCTACCTTCTCGAGGTGAGCTGTCCCGTTGACCAGCTGAAAGGATTCACAATTCATCCATGAAGTTAATGGAAAGCAATTCCTAACGCAGTAGATTAAAAATACATGTCGGCTTCGTGTATGTTAACTAAGAAAAGCCGGGATTGAGATCATGGATAAATCACTGTATGACAACTTCGGTTAAAAGCAGTGATTATGTTCACTCTACTCACTCAAAAAGGAACGCAGCAAAAATTGGGGCCTTATGTCAGGGGTATACCGATCAGAAGCCATCATCACATTGCCGCCACGGCGTTCTGAAGGTCGCAGGGATAATTATATGAATCCCACTTTAGTGATTTTCATTGCTCAGTTAAAAGTAAACTGACCTGAGGGAGCCCTCCATTGACAAAGTGGCCTCTCTGGATGTATGGAAATAATCCAAGATCTTCGTGGCCGAAGTACACCATGACGTCATTTCCTGTCGGGGAGTTCGTCAGGATGCCGTTGGAGCCCAAGTCTATATCGACACCGAACTTCGTCAGGCAGCGATGGGAGTTTCTGACGTTCCACACAGCCGTGAAAGCGCGGTCGGCTAGGGCTGGTGGTAAGGGGCTCGGGCCAGGTTCCTTTCCAGGAGAGAGTCCCACGATGCCTGCAACTCTGCCTCTGGGGGTTAGAGGCGTTACCTCACAAATGTTGCCTGTTGCCAAGATAAGCAGCAACCACTGTGCAAGAAACTGCATCTTATTCATCCTGGGTTATTAAGAAGAAAATACACATTTCACAATTACGACATCCTTAAAGCCACTGGTGTGAAATCGTCTTTCTAGATGGTTTATAGTTTATGGTTTATTTAAAAACATGACATATAGCAGTTAGAACTGAATTACATGACATTTACAACATTAAAAAAAACAATTATAAAGTACAAAAGAGATATAAAAAGTACATGTATTTAGACTTTGAACTTTGAAAAAAAGCCTACTCTGCATTCTGTACGAGGATAGAGTCTCGGCCTTATTTGAAATACATTTCTACAGAGAAAAAAAATGAAATGGACTTAAATTGTACATTATTGTTTAAAAATTAAAAATATAAAATCACTGGACAAGAAATGGTATACATGAATTATACATTGGTGTTTATTCATTTAGTAGTGTTGTCAAATAGGGCAGAGGACTACATCTGAATCGTTTGGTCTTGCACTTATATGTCCCAAATGTGTTTCTCTTTCTCAAGGTCATAGATGAACTATACCCAGAGGCAGGGTACCATGGTTGAGAATTTATCAGAGCGGCTAGACTTTTGAGCAAAGTCCTTGCATATTGGTGCCCTGCGATGTTCTAGGGTGTCAAGCTGCAGAGTAGCCAAGGCCTCGGCATAGGATGTATATTTTTTAGAGAGGATATACAGCGGCTGTATGTTCCTGCATTGGGAACATGCACATATCCTTTGCATGGCAGCCATCTTGTACTCAGTTGCGTACTTTTTTCTCACGGATGCGCAGAAGTAGACAAGTTCATTTGTAGTAATTTTTAAGATGGCTGCTGGTTGTAAAGAGTCTATTCAAGTGAGTCCGTTAAAAGCATTTTTGTATGCAGAATCATTGTAGAATAAATGGATCAGCTGAAATTCCGTTCGAAGGTTTCACTCTGTTTACAAGATTTGCTGCCGATCTGCTGCTCTTTACTTGTGCTTGTACAGCAAAACGTTTATCACTTCTGTAATGACTATCTATATATATAAGAGAGAAGTTTACTCGCCCCCGAGACGATGTTTGCTCCTGAAAGGATCCGAGACCGCGGGCTCCCGCGGCCCCAAAATCGCTCCACGTCCGTGGAAAAATGCGGAGGGTGTCTTCCGCCGGGTAGGACGCTTCGGGTCGTCCTAATTTTCCCGTACGGACTAGCGATCCGTTTCGTCGATTTTTGGTGACTGAATTTTGCACAGGAATTTTCCGTCGTGTGCGCTTTCACGTTGACTGCCTAGCCGCCCACCGTGCAGGCTTTTCTGCGTGTCTAGACTGTGCGAGGTCAGCGAGGTCAACGTGGGGGTTTCGTTTACGTGTTCTACTCGGCCCTTCTGCAAAAGCGTTCACCAAACGTTAGTATGTGGTGACCTTGGTAAAATATTTTTTGTCCATGGTGCGTGGCCACCAAGTGCCTCTATTCTTTCATATGCTTCGCTTGCCGCCCCTGCGCCGAGTGCAACGAATACTCAGAAGGACTATACATTAAGTATGCCTTGCGCGGTCTGACCAATCGAAAGTCTACACTGCGTAGTATTTCCGGGCTATGCAAAACTGTCGATGGCAACGCGTACTGCAGCCTGCTCCACACCCTGGAAACGAGGTTGGGTCTACGTTGCTCGCTATTTGCATGATTTGAAGCACAAGCATGTGAGTGACGTGTATAGTGCTCTGTCGCTTCCATCGTGTGTTAATACAGCTCCATGCTTCCACCAAGGCTGAGCGTTGTGAGTTCGCTGCCCGCCACAGTCTTGCGTTATAATTTCGGGGGCCTGTCTGGGATCAACGAAGGATCGATGCATTGCTTCAAACATCGCGATCTTAAACGCAGTCACACAAAAAATCGACGAAAATGTGTCCGATCCGGCGGAAGACACCCTCCACATTTTTCCACGGACGTGGAGCGATTTTGGCGTCGCGAAAGACCGCGGTCTCAGATCGTTTCAGGAGCAAACATTTCTCGGAGGCCGAGTAAAATTTGCTCTTATATAGATGGTTGACCCAAGTTGAATAACAGTTGACTCGACAAGTTCCTCGCAGACAGTCTCGCAAATTGTAAGACGTTCAAGTTTACGTTTGTTGAAGAGTCCAATATACTGAAACTTAATTATGACCTTCCTAATCAGCCTTCGCCTGTGTACTACGGCAAGCCTTTCAAGTACGTTTTCTCACAAATGCCACTGCCTCACAAAATGCCAATTTAACAGACCAACGGGAACATTTACAGACTGTTGCCATGGTTCATAATTATCATGGGCGTCAATCGGTGGGGGACGGGGAACCCCTCCACCCCCCCCCCCCCCCATTTTAAAGCGGTGGAGACTTTTTTGGTCCCCTCCCCCCCCCCCCCCACTTTTCTTCCCCGAATAAAAATTGTAGCTACTACATGATTCTATTACTCTGAATAGCTGATTCAATGACACCAAACTCGAAAATGATGTTTCAAAGATGATCTTTTGCTTAAAAAAAAAATTGTTGTAGTGGTCAGAAATTGCCTCAGATCGCACCACAGAAATTGCTTTTCTATAGCTGCATGTCTTCTCAACTAAATCCCCCAATTACATTCATCTCCCCACATTTTCATCCCCAACTCTACGCCCTACCCGATCTATGATCGGGTAAATCAACGAGGGATCGATGCATTGCTTCAAATATTGTGATCTTTGAACTATGTTGGGTTGGAATAACGAAGAGTGCATAAATAATAATATTGGCGGTTGTTGGCTGTTTGGCCTTGCTTATTTGAACCATGCCAACTTGAATAAAATAGTTAAATCGGCTTTTTCCTCGCAGGTCTCGCAAATTGTAAGAAGTTCAAGTTTACGTTTGTTGAAGAGTCCAGTACTGTACCTTCATAATGACCTTCCTCCATGATTCACACTATGTAATTTTATGGTAACACACTCAACATTTTTATTGCAAATGCCACCTTCACGTTTTATTCCATTATGATTTATTGTCAAAACAGTACAATCAGCCTTCGCCTGTGTACTATACGGTAAGTCTTTCAACTCAGTTTTCCCACATTAACAAACGCGACTGCCTCACAAAATGCAATTTAACAGACCAACGGGAAAATTTACAGACAGTTATACATGCCATGGTACATAATTATCATGGGCGCGGCGTCTATCGGTGGGGGACGGGGGACCCCCACCCCAACATTTTAAAGCGGGCAATATCGTTTGGTCCCCTACCCCCACTTTTTCTTCCCCGAATAAAAATTGTAGCCTACTATAATATTCTTTTGCTCAGAACAGCTGATTCAATGACTCCAAGTCCAAACTCGAAAATGATGTTTAAAAGATGATCTTTTGTTTTACTATCGTACGTGGTCAGAAATTGCCTCAGATTGCGTCACCGTAAATTGCTTTTCTATAGCTACATATCTTCTCAACTAAATCCCCCATTTACATTTAACTCCCCACACTTTCAACCCCAACACAAATACGCCCTACCCGATCTATGATCGGGTAAATCAGCTTGTTATTGATACGAATAAAAACACTTGCCCTTGTTGTCTTGCGGACGTTGTGATCTGCTTCATGAGTCTAAATTGTTCCGGGTGTTGTGTGCAATCTACACAATGAAATCAAAACACTGTTCATATACACGCGTAACCTTGGCATCAGGAAATGATAAAGGAAACCAGTCTTTAAAGGGAGACTTTTCCTGTCTGCTGTCACGAGGGCAGAGTCAATTAACATCTGCGTATATTCGCTCTTACTAGAACACATGTGCGGTTTTGTCATCGACCCTTAACACTTTCGTTTCCTATTGCGGTCTCGGCATTTTGCTTTGTCTTTCACCTCGTTTGTGTCCATTCATTTGCAGTCGATTAATTCTTTCCATGTCTATTTCTCTGTTCGCAGCATTAGAAAATTACTTGAAAGAGAAAGTGTAAGAAACAGAACGGTCCAAGAACAATATTTCCTGAAGATATGAAATATAATTGGCTTTCCCCCTCATCCATGGGCGTCGCCAGGAATTTTTTAAGAGGGGGGCAAAAAAATTTTTGGCCAAAAAAAATGCTTGTATTTCTCAACACATTCTCGATCTATCAGTTTTAGACGGGGGCAGGGACATTTTGCCCCCCCCCCCCCCAACTCATTAAATTTACACCACTTTGTCTTCGCGCCTCTTTTTCTTTTCTTTTTTTTCCCGTTTTTTTCCTTCCTTTTTTTTTTTTTTTTTTTTTTTTTTTTTTTGCTTTTCCAGGGGGGGGAGGGCAAGTGCCCTCCTTGCCCCCCCCCCCGCGACGCCCATGCCTTCATCGATGTCAATTTATAAGCACTTGTCTTACTAGACACACGCACTTTCAGATGTCAGGATTTGTTCCAACAAGTCTTCGGAACAAATATGCGCCCTTGGCCATGCAGAGCTATACCCTCTATTACCCCAAAGTTGTTACTATTTTGCACCGATCTACCCTCCTAAACTTTGCAGGGTTCTCGATTTGCTGTAAAATTTTCACCTATATTAACCTATATATACAGCAGCTAATATGAAGGCCAGGAGGCCTCTACTAATGCCCGTAAAAGTGCAGAACGCACAGCATCTCCAAGATGACCGCCAAGCATAAGGAATGTGATGTTAGCATTAAAAAGTGCATGATCACTTCATTGTGAACTAATAAGAATCGTACTTGCGTTTTACGGGAACATTTTGCTATGTATTAATTGATTTTTGTAGTCGAGTTCATCGCACAACTCACAGCTTACCAAGCTAAGGCAATGCAAATTATATGGGTTAGAGTACACATAGAGCTAGAGACATGTCGACCGGTACTTCCATGATAATACTCTGCATTATGAGTTTGCACCACGTAATAATAAACAAACAATAATGATTGCATAATAATTGAAAGAGTGGCATCCACATACTGAATTTTCTTCCATGGGAAAGGCTGTCGATTTTAGAGCAATATTTACATGCGTGACAGTTCGATCATCAGAGCTACGCGGTCTGTACCTTGGATAACCCACAACCTGGCTCCGTTCCTGCACCTGTCTGTAGTGAGAGCCCTATACTATAGGAATAGCGTTTTCATTGCATTAGGCCCCTACCTAGGTTAAACTGTAATGAAGACCAACTCTTCGAAGGACAAAACTAGATAGACATTGTACCTTGTACCTTGTACCTTGTAGATCAAACTCCTGGACGGTCCACTAGTACAGGGACTAAACTGGAAGTTGACGAGAGTGGATTAATGTCTAGCGGGGGCAGTGATGTCTCCGTTGGTTTTGGATGGAGCTTTTGAAGGCTGCAGAGGAAGTTATTAGAAAAGACTTAATTTAAAGATGCTACAAAAAAGTACAAAGTAAGTCTTGAATGCACCAAAATGAAATAGAATGCCCCAAAACGAAAACGAACATTCAGTGCAAAATCTGAATGAATGAATGAATTAATTAATGAATGGATGAATGAATGAATGAAAGGATGAATGAATGAATGAATGAATGAAGAATAAAAGAATGAATGAATGAATGAATGAATGATTGGATTTAATAATGGTCATACCACTAGTCCAGTTAAAATGCATGGGACAACAATTATTGTTTGTTCCCTGTTATAAAAAAAAAACAGGTTTGATTAAAGAATCGATAATAAAAGATCACGGACCAATTGGGATAATGAAGACATTCAATCCTGTTGCCTGTGCAGGTAATCTCGCCGTCGGTTGAATATTCTCTCCCAGAACCTGTCTCAGTCAGTGCGGTTGACATGCATGTCTTACAACTCCAGGTCTCTTTCTCAGTGGGCGCTACATTTCAGCATATTCCCGTTTAGATTATCGTTTTCTAAGTTTACCGTCCAACTGATATATTATAATGCATGTAGCAAACCTTAATGTCCAGAAATAGAAGCAAATAATAGGCTTCAACTGTACAAAGTGTACGTTAAGAACACCATGGTTACATCATGGAGCTACCTTGTGTAGGGCCTGTGCCCTGACCTCGTGTTTCCCCACATACACTCTAAAAACTGTGTTTAGCAATTAAACACAGTCTTGCTATCACTTTGTAAACATGTTTAGGAGCTAAACATCACGTGTCCAATTCCTAAACATCAATGTTCAATGGCTAAACACTAGCCATCCTGACCCTAAACATGTTTAGTATTTAAACATGTTTACAAACTGATAGCAAGACAATGTTTAGAAAAGTGTTTAATTGCTAAACACAGTTTTGGCAGTGTACACTAGTTGTTACGTAGCGTTACGTAAATCTCGCTGAGGCAAGGCCACTGGGCCGACGGCCGCCGGTGATTGTATGCTCTCTTATGGGCTGTATCTGTCAGTGCACAAACCATGGTTTGTGCCATGGTCCGAGTAATGAGTTTGATGTGGTGGGGCACTCCAAAGTAAAATGGCTTCAGGAAAAAAAAAGACCAATAAACCAAAATCTTGCTGCTTGCTTGAATGACATTAAAGTTGAAACCTTAATTGTATTGCACATTATTAGAGGATCATGGCTGGCTGGTTGACGGATTGTTGATGAAATATAACGTTATATTAAAGTTCAGGTGCCAGTCAATCATTAACATTCAAAGCAATAAGCTCATTGTCACATCAAAATCAGCCTTAAGGTTCAGAACACAAAGCCAGTATACCGGTGTAGCATGAATTTAGGTTTTATGACATACGGACTCATTGGTGATATTGCGCATGCTCTTAATTGCATAGATAATTAGGAGGGGGACCGGTCACGTGAGAGGGTTTAACCAATAAAAGGGAAAAGGAGTCCGATTTTCATACGAGTCCGATTTTCATATGACACCGGTACGTTATTGCACATCAATCATTTAAACTGTCATCAGTAATTTCAGTGTTCACATTGATAAATGAATGTCATTCATTTTACGAGGACACTGACAAAATGACTAAAAGAAGGCTGGTCTTTTGTATTCGTCTTTGTGTGTTGTCTGTAAACTATTAAGTAAGATTTTAGGCTTTGCATGGTGGAGATACTAAATAATGAAAGGTTTGCGGAAACACCATGTGCGAATAATTTCAACTAAGAGAATGGTTCTGAAAAGAACCAGAGGTATAAACTCGACGTTCCGGTCAGTATGCTCTGACCGTCTTCAGGAGAGTGCCTAAACTCTGTAAACTATTCTTAACGATATGAGTGTTAAACAGTGACTCAACAGTTAAAACGCACTCATCGTGACGTCAGACAGTAATACTTATATTTGCGTTAACGTTGTCTGCTCTTATGCTACTTAATTTTTGTTTGTCTGATGACAGTGTAACTTGTTTTCTTATAAAGTGCCTGTCGTTCTGTACAGATTTTTTAAGTCTACTGGCATTTGCAGCATTTGTTTTTGCGGCCGGATCATCTCTTTGCTGTCTGTCCTAACTCGTCTGTCTGCGATTCCGTAAATCAGTGGGTTCACTGTACTGTTGATCAGAAAAGTGATTTCCTCAAAATCATCATAAAAATGTAGTTCCAAGATATTAGAGCAAGAGCCAGGATCATTTATTTTTTTGAAATGACCAAGTGTTAAGTGGATATTTTTGGAAAGGTTACACATTGCGGTACTCTTATGGTTACCTGGCGGTGATAAGCAGTGATAAGGAAATGCAACAGCCGTCGGGTCAGTCAAATGGACTGTGTACGCAGAACGTGTGTATTACTGACCCGGCGGCTGTGAGATGTCGTACTCAACGATGCGCAGCACTGCGAAGAATACAGGCCTGCATGTTTACGTTTTATTACCTTATCAAATGATTTCACATCAATAGACGAGCATTCAGAGGAGATGTCTGAGTACTCTGAACAGCATATTCGAAATTTGATCACGCTAATGTAGGTGTTTGCCTAGCAATAGCATCCTCCTTAGCAACCACTGCCGCTGGAACAAACTTTTGCCAGGGGATGCTGGAATTTGTAAAGAAAATTAATACGAAAGCGGAGCGCAAAGCCCTTACGTCGTGGCATAATTTGGAATATAGATGCTCTGTGGTGCAATCTGAGGCGATTCCTGGCCACTTTCATTTGACTCTTTCAGCACAAGTTTTTTGAGATTTTAAAGAATTTTGTTTCGAATAAACTGTTGTTCTTAAAGTGGAGAACCCTGTATTTTATCTCCATTTTGGGTCCATTTAATTCTGGACAAAGAATTTTATCATTATGCATGACATCGCAGGTAAATATTATTGTTACAAGGCTGTTTTCTTACATTTAGTAAATTCCGGCGTGTATGTTTTGTTTTATTTTCCGAGCCCTTACGGCGTCGGGCCACCGGGCCAGGGGCCCGCTTTAAGGCCCCGGAAAATGTTGAATTCTGGATGCACTGCGATGAAATATACTGAAGTATACTGAAACTTATAAAACCCGAAAGGATGGTTTGGGGTTCAAGTTCATACAAATGGTTCCACTGGAAGCGGATGAATTTCTGTTCATAAAAATATTCACATATTCTAACTCACCAAACGATGTAGATCTGCATATATTTCCAGTGTTATGTTTGTTACATGGAATGGCAAATATAAAAGACTAAAATACCATATGCATTTATATGATTATGATCGGTCATCATCATGTCGGGATCGCCTGGGTTGTGACAACATCACGAGCCAGTCCCTGAGTGCTCGGTCTACTGAGTTTTTATGAGGAAAAACTTGCAAAGGGTAAAACTTGAATAGCTTTTTTTTTTAAACGAAACTACACTGGAATTGGCGTAAAGGATGACTAGTTTCAATGAAAGCCGTCCCACTCCTATTGGGTTGGGGATGAGTGTGAACCTTGTTATTTGTTAATGCTGAGTACAGAAAATGCTAGCAACGTCAATGAAACTTTTAAATGAAAAGAAAAACCTTCAGGGGAAAGGTATGAACTTGTGCCCCTATTGAAAGATCGAATGAAAAAAATTCTGGCAAGCACAATCAACTTTGCCACCATTGTCATGGCCGAGGTTATTGCTTTCGGGTCAAAGCTTCCATCGTGCCGGAAATATCATAGACATGTCATGATTTTAGAAATTATACCTTGAGAGAAATATCGATTCTGCACTGCCTGAAGATTTAGAAAATACTTCCTCTTGATATTTAACAGTGTATGTGCTAGACTTTCAAAGCGCCGCGTTTAGCCGCGGCAAAACTAGAAACGAACAAAACGAAGGAGATTTTGTAGAGCAAGCATAATGTATGGGGGTGCTGTAGTATATTCCAGCACCCCAATCCAAAAAGTTAAGGGGGTGCTGCAGTACCCACAGCACCCCCCCCCCCCCCTCCGTTCCCGAGGGCTTGTTAGCAACAAACCTTTAGAGCCCAAATAATTTACATAAATCTACAATACGAATCTAAATACATTGAGTTGAATACGACATCCAACAGCCGCCGGGTCAGTAATACGTACATTCTGCGTACACAGTCCATTTGACTGACCCGACGGCTGTTGCATGTCCTAATCGCTGCTTATGTTACGTCACTTATCTGCTCCTGGTATCCAGGTCCACCGCCAGGTAACCGTCTGACTATTCAATTCGAATTCTCCAATGTGTAAACTTTCCAAAAATACCCACCAAACACTTGGTCATTTCCAAAAAATAAATTACCCTTGGCTCTTGGACTATAATTATAGGCGATGAGGCGAATAGTATCTCGAATGTTGATGGGATGGTGTTCAGCGTCCCACCCGTTTTCGGCTGATGCAGTCGAGGCGAAAATGTTCTCCATTGTGTTTTAAGTCAGTTGGATTCTAAGTAAAGATTGACACAGCGTAGGATTCACCTCTCTCTCTCTCTCTTAAACTTCAGACTTCGTGGAAATAAAGAATGACTCGAAAAATTCATATCGAACCACTCGGCTTGTCTGATAGTGTCGACTGCAATTTACGCCCGTTTGCAATTTCTTCCCGCCTTGAACTGATACAAGACACTTTTCGGCCCTTCTAATAAATCTACATCAATCTGATAGCTGCTGGCAAATAATAATGGGATAGGCCTATTGGGCTGAAGTCGAACAATTGACTCGTACAATTCTGCACAATTTACATGCATTCCCATCCGCTCATTTCAGCCAGTTCAGTTGTAATGTCGCTTTAAACCTAAAGCATTCGGTTTCCTCCAGCCTCGAACTGACAAAAGACACTTTAGACCATAATCATGTTGCGGCCATCTTGATTTGTTTTACCATTCAAATCAACGTAACCAAAGCGAGGCTGGAGAGAAAAATAGTCTGGTTCCTTTTTGCACAAAAAC